AGCTTTTACGATTTAAAACTGAATGATAAGAATTAATACATTTTTAAAAGAATTTGGCACACGTCTATTCTGTACGCTTGCTCGACGACGACTCGAATTTAAAAACCGAATTAGCAATCGTAAGACATCATGATTTTTTTATACAAACGCATTTATATTGAGATCTTAGGATCTAAGGTATGTTCAAGTTATCAAGATAATATAAATCAATGGTTCCATAACGTTGCTGACATGAATTAAAAATCATAGACTTCTAAACTTTGTTGCCAGGGACCATTGGAAAATTTAAAAAAAAAGAAATACGATGAATAAATATTACTGTTACATCAATTTTAATGATAAAATATTTCACAGGTCCTAGTCAAAAGACTACCTCCAATAAAGAACCCAAAACCGAGACTTCACAAGCTATTCAAAGATTTCTGGCTGTACTGCGTCGTTATGGGATTCACCGCGGCCGAATCAGGTAAATATCAAACTATTTATTAACTAAAATCCCTTTTATATCTAATACTTTACCCACGATGTAAATTGCTCAGTTTTAAACTTTAAGTATATTGTGTTTGGACTCAATTTAGCTATTCTCTACACTTTGACTATTACATACTGTTTATATAGATGTATTTAACTATGTTGTCTTCTTCTATGGCCACGCCTGTAGCCATGCGAAAGCGTGAGTAAAAGATGCTTCTAGAAACATTAGTTTGTGATTTTTTTGGTTTTTTGAACTGTTTTAGACTGAAATGGTGCTATTTTAAATCGAGTTAAAATGTGTTTTTGTTAGCTTTTTTGTATATCTGATTTTTTAGAAAATGCCTTGTTTATAAGTTGCATAGTTTTAGATTTTTTAATTTTTGAGATTAATGAAAAAAAGATTCGTATATGTGAAATTATAAAAGATGATTTAGCAGTTTTTGAGTTATGTCGAAAAAAAATTACAATATTAGTCGATGTAAAATAAATGAGTTCCATATAGCACCATTTCAATAACCTTATATGAGTTTTTAAGAAAACGTGCCTTAAATGATTGTGCACGATTGTGTAAAGTTTGGGTAATTTTTTGTGTAATTCTGAGTTTACACAGCTGAAACATTATATTCATATTGACATCTCTTTCATTCTCTTCGAAAATACTGAGTTAACAATATTTGATTGTTTATGTTTTGGCGGTGGAAATTCATAGTAATGTGTTTCGAGATTGTTCGATTTTCTTTTCTTGAAAGAGTGTGCTTTTAAATCTTAGAATGCAGTGTTAGATTATGTTAGTTTTTATATTTACATGAATATAATTCTGCTTCAATTTTAAGCGAATTTCGTTTCTTTTTGGGTTTTTAATGTAATTAAAAATATGCTTTTAATATAACATTTGTAAAATACATAGAATCTGATAATATAAACTATAGATATTTATAAATATATCACTATAAAATATTATAACTCCTATACTCAATATATATTGTACAGAAAAAATTATAGAATACCAAATTTCCTATTACACAAATATATAAACCCTAAAATTCAAGCTTTTAATTTAAAATTTTCAAATACATTCTTCCTTTAATAAAAAAAGATCGACGAAAAAAAGATTTAAGCCAAGAAAAATAAATTTTTGAACATCAACACGACAACTCCACAGGTCTATGGCCACAAGAGTGGTACGCGGGTGTGAAAGAGATAGCAGTCAAATCGCCCTTCCTTGTCTCGCAAACGTCATTGCGTTCGGAAATGCGCGAACTTCAGTACACTTCAGCTGTCAGGAATGATTCTGTCTCGCTCACTGAGCTGCAGGAGCTGAAGACGCAGATCCTCAACCTGTTAGATCATCCGCCAGATGTCACTGTCAATGTCAATAAGTTGACATTTGCACCCTGCATGTATTTACTGAGCGTTTATTGGTTGGAGACTTTGAGGTTAGTTTTTAATCTATGACATTTAAAAAATATATACTTTGGACGCAAACATAATTGGTCTATCTGGCCTATTTAAAGTTTTAAAACATTTTATTGATATTTTAGGGTGTGTAACTCCCCAGAGCCAAGTTTACAACCGATTATAGAATATTTGAGTGATACAGCTTTGCAGAAGGACAAGAGTGGTATGTGGCAATGTGTTGCAAGGTAAGTAATTAATAAGATATGAGAAATTACTAATTCAATTTTACCCAATTGTTAGAAGTGTTGCCATGTAATTTTAAATGTCTCCTATATTTATCTATAGCCAAATTAAGTCATTCGATTAATAATTTTCCCCGGAGTGTATTTTATAGCAAAAAACTGTATACAAAGGGCAAAATTAGTCGATGTCCAACTACTTTTTGTTATTATTTAGCGTTGGAGACAAAGTATTCCAGAAGTTTCTAGACGTGATGTCTGACAAAGTGAAGGACGAGTGCCGCGAGCGCGAGCTGGAGAGCCACGCGCAGTTCCTGCTCGTCAACTTCAACCACATTCACAAGCAGATACGAAGAGTTGCTGACAAATGGCTGGCGGGGCTCGTTGACCGCTTCCCACATCTACTGTGGAACTGTCGAGTTAGTATATCATCTAGTTCCTTTACAGGTCTATAGCTCTTTACAGCCCTTTATAGCTCTTTATAGCCCTTTGTAGGTGTATACATACCTTTATTTGCTAGCTGTTGCCCGTAACTGCGAGGAATTAAAGTAAAACTAAAAGTAAGTAGCCTATATATAAGTAAAGTGAAACATTTGTAAGATAAAAAGCGTCAAAGTCATATGCTGTAAAGTTTTACAGAGACTTAGATCGTTTATGAGAGGTTTTGGTGTGTTAATTATGATATGCAAACAATTTCTTAATAATGGATATTCTAGTTTTTTTATAAAAGTGCGCTGTTCCTGCTTCAATTTCGAAAATTACATTTGTATTTCAACAATATTGTGATGTTGATTTGATATTTTTAGGTGCTATGGTCAATGCTGGATATTCTGCAAGTGCTAAGTTTCAGTCTGGAACTAGACGCTAATCAGGAAACACCTTTACTTAAAGTCCCCGGTACTGACTTCACTCTGCAGCTACAAGACACTTTAGAAGGGAGAGAGGTAAATGTTACAAAGAAAATACAAATATGACTTTAAAAGTTTTTATATTTGCGTTTAATTTTTTCTTGTTTTAGGGAATAGTAAAAGATTTCGCGGATCGTTGTCACGGTATAGTGCAAGAGGCTATGAAATGGGCCCCACAATCGACCAGATCGCATTTGCAAGAATATCTCAATCAGGTATCAAGTTTATATTTAATAAATTCAAATGTTGAAAATCATCCGACTCAAAGGATCATGTTTATGTAAAACTATCTGTTGCTTGCGACTTCGTCCACGTTAAATTTAACAATAAAACCATTGTTACTGAGTGATTATGTAGCTTTCTAATGGTGTAACAATTTTTGAAATCGGCCTAGCAGTTTTTCAATAGATACAAAAATTACAAATCTTTCCTCCTTAAAATATTAGTATAGATGTTTGACAATATTCTACGTTACCTAATATATTTCCTTGCAGGTGCCGAACTCAACATTATGGCACCATTGCGGGCTGGCACTAGCGACAGGTGCGCTACTTGGTGCCGCGGGGCTAAACCGCGCGTCGGCACCTTTGCCCCGCGCCGCGTTAGACAAGCGCCCGCCTTGCGTCACACACGACTCCGCGGCATTACTGGCTGTGGTGTCACAACGCAGTAGATATGCTGGTGAGGTATGTGGCAAGATTTGACACCACTGCGACTTGGCACTAGGAACAGTAGAGATAAACGTTATTATTGTCTAAAATACGTAGGTGGCGGGCGCGGTGCACGCGGAGGGCGGGGGCGAGGCGGCGGTGTGGCGTGTGGGGGCGAAGCTGCACTCCGCGCTGCGCGACGCCTGCACGAGTGGCAGCGAGACTGCGCACCGTGCGGCATTGTGGCGAGCCACCGCACTGCTCGTGCACGCAAGACACACTACATCCGCGCACGCGCAGTCCTCGCCTACTGCGCGCACTTTGCTACATAGTGTCGGTGAGTTTTATTATATGGTGGCAAACGAGCAAGCGGCCACCTGAATCCACCGAAGTGGATAGCGACCGCTGCCCATAAACATCCGCAATTGCAGACGCGACGCCTACCCTTAATTGATGGAGGAGGAGATGCAAATAAAGAGGACATTTCCCCTTCCTATGCGTCTCCTCCACCGTCAAATCAACTTTTCCTTCCCATCCTTTCCTATTAAGAAAAGGGTTGAAAGGGAAAGGGATTAAAATTAGGCCTCCGGCACCACACTCATTAGACGAAATGGGAAATTTCTTCCACTTCACGTCTGTCTTCTACGTGGTCGTGGTATTACACCGAACGAGCTGGCCCTACAGTGCGAAGATATTAAAGCGGGCACTACCACTATTAAAATTTTGAGTCGGGAAACAGTACTACTATAGAACTTTACTCTCATAGATATTTGTAATAGACTAGCTGTTGCACGCGACTTCGTCCACGAGAAATTAAAGTATATTTTAACCAAATTTCTAATTACGAAGGTTTTGTTACATTTTAAATTGTTTGTGTATGATAGCATGGTCTCAAGTGGACATCTTCACGGAGGACGCGGTGACGACGGCGGTGGAATGCTGGCAGTGGCTGACGACGGCGCGGCCGGACCTGGAGCTGCGGCTGCTGCAGGAGATCTTCGCCGCGTGGCAGTGCACTGTGGACAGGAAGATGGGACTCTTCTCCAAGCAGCATGATGAGATCAGCCCCTTAGCAGCGTATGAAGGTACGATTGCTTGAATGGAAAAGTGCCGAAATTTATTTCGTATTCCAACTTAAAGCGGACAAAAGCTTGTAACAATATAAGAAATATTTGTTCATAACAAACGGAGCAATAATAATGCAACTTTGTAATATTAAAGGTATTTTGCCTTAAAAATCAGCAATCATCACCGCCCCTCCCCCATTTTTTAGGCCCTTCACCTCCTCTAAACCTCCAGCGCCCACAAGGGGGCATTCTATATAATATTTTGTACACTTTCGTGTTTTACAATTTGTCTAGTCAGATTACAAAAGATAGCACATTTTAGGTTCGAAGTTGGAGCCGCGCCCGCCGTTCGTAGCGCCTCATGCGGTGTGGGTGCGCTACCTGTGCGAGGTGGCTGATACTGCTAAGTACAACAGCCTGGAGAAGGTGGAAATGCTCGCTAGCTTGCTACACAGGTACAGTTCACGTCACTCGCGGTGGTACACTTAACAAAAATGTCGCATCTCGCTTTAATTTTGTGTAGTTATAGCTTTTATAAATTAAGTGGAGTGTAAAAACGAATATGCTTCAGTTCAAAATTTTTCATTTTTAAACTTATACCGAATTGTAGGTATTTAAAAAAATGGACTAAAGACTGTGTACTTTTATAACTCTTAAATACATTTTCCGAGTGCTAAAAAACTCATATTTAAGTTAACTATGTGTTTTTATTGGTATTCAATGTGAATAATTATGATAAATAATTTTAGGTCACTACCAATTACTGTTGGAGATATTCGAGATCACATCAACAGGCATGTAGAAGCGGCTGGAGTTAGATTCAAGTACGTAAGGAATTCATTATAACTTTTTTATTTCATGAGCAATCTGATTTGAACTATATTTCTTACAGTTTACACACTATTATACTGTAGCTGGTACAATAAAGAATCGTTTAGTCGCGTTAGCAATCTAATTTGCACTCTACGGCTTACAACTTATAGACTAAAATCCTGTGCTGTGTTCAATGATTTATTATGTCAGTTGCATGAACAATCTAATTTCAACTCTATTTCTTACACTTTACAGACTGTTATCCTGTGGCCTGTCATTACTACAAGGGGATATTCTTCCTCGCTCGTTAGCACGTAATATACTACGAGAGCGAGTGTACAGCGTCTGCTTGGACTACTTCTGCAGAGGTCTGCAATGCCCCGCTAAAAGTTCAGGCGCTCTCAGAGAGGATATCATGTCGTTGATTAAGTTCTGGCAATTAATGCACTCGGATAAGAAGTATTTGAAAAGCAGTGATATTGGTGGTAAGGAGAATTGATTTTTATATAAGTTATTTTTGTTTTTACTATTGAAAGACGTGTATTAAAACATATATAGGTGTTTGTAGGTTAAGTCACAGTTAGTAATTATTATCATATTATTGGTTTAATTTAAATTTAATAGCAGCATTTTTTTTAATTTGTAACAAAATGCTAGCTATGAAATGCTATGCTAGCATAGCTATGCTAGCATATGAAAGAACATAAACAATATTAGCTGATATAAATTACGTACGTTTGCGCTTTTCAACTGTTCAACGTATGTTCGTCTCTCTCACTCTTATGGCGTGTGAGAGAGATAGATATATATGTTCCAGAATTCGACACAATGGGTCCGAGTAGCCAACAGAGTATCTACACGTCGAACTCGCCGACAGACAACCGCTCCTCCATCAACAGCAGCGACATCGGCAGCCGACAGACCACGGGCTGGATTAATACGGTAAGAATACTAGTTATAACCAATTTTAACCGGTTATGAATTAGCCATTGCCTGTTATTTTTTGAGTATTCATATTAAATTTTTGAGTATTCTGATTTTCAAACTTTCGTATTTATAATATAAATTAGGATTTATTTTATTGTGCCGACTTTTCACTAGGAAATGTGAAAGGATGATGATTTTTGTTTTATTTATTAGATAGTCTGATTCTGTAATATGGACAAAATCTTTGTAATAATTATGCCTGGTTCACACTTGGCCAATAGCGCCGGCAGGCATTTGTTATATACTAACGCCAGGCATTATTTACATTATATGAATTCAATGCCAGTCCAGTCGGTGAGTCTGTCCAGTTGGGTAAACTGTACTGGCCCTGTAAAATTGAGACTTGTATGTATATGTGTAACTTGTCCCAGGTGCCGATGTCAACGACGACGCTGAGCAGCGGCGCGGGCAGCGCGGCCGGCAAGCGCTCCAACCGCAGCGTGAAGCCGCTCCTGAAGACACAGGACACCTTCGTTAAAGACTACGTTAGAAAGAGGAACTTGATACTGGAACTTATGGTAACTGTGTTTACACCTACGGTGAACAAATATTGCTCCAATTTTTTTGTCTATGTGCTTGTAAAGTAGTAAATCAAGAATAAACTGTTTCCCTAAATGTACAGTCGAGGAAATCCGCGGTGTTCCACTTACAGAATTCCTTTGTTACAAAAACAAATTTTGCATCTGCTGCCAATTAAAGCCAATAAAATAACAGTGAGTTGCCCAAATTAAGGCTTAAATATAAAAAAAAAAAACTATTTTCTCTTCTTTAGTACAGACGTGTTTAAAAGCGACGTCCAATTAATAATTGTTTCTCACCGTCGTCTCATTTCGAAGAACGTTCATGCTTTTTAGGTTGAACACCGCCAGATTCCCGGATTGTACATTAATGTGATTTATGGAGATAAAAGTTAAAGGGGAATTTTTGATCATCTAGATAAGTGTTTGACTTTGTTATTATTGTGTAGGCTGTGGAGATAGAGCTGCTGGTGACGTGGCACAACCCGCACGCGCGGCCTGAGCAGGCGGTGTCGGGCGAGGACAACATCGCCACGTGGCGCTCCAAGCCCAACACGGAGCGCACCTGGCGCGACTACGCCAAGCACGCCTGGGACATCAGCCCCGCGCTCGCCGTCTTCCTGCCGGAGAGGTACTACATACTACACGCTTCAGATTACACACTACACGCCTCAGATTACACGCTACACGCTTCATATTACACGCTACATGCTTCAGATTACACGCTACACCCTTCAAATTACACACACACTACCATAAGCATGTTGCCTTTTGCGGAGGGGCGGAATTGATGAATATATAAACTACTTCGAATAAGTTAGGTCCCTCTAGTCCTAGCCTAGATTATCGGCTAGCGACGCAAAAGCACAGATTTTGCAATACTCTTTTGTATGTTATCGAAAGACTTATCGTTGTTATGTTTAGGTTGAAAAATGAAGCAATAGTGAAGGAGATCAGACGGAAAGTACAGTCGCAGCCGACGGCTGTGTGCCACATTCCGCAGGCGCTCAAATATCTCGTCACTACGGAGACGTTGCTCAGCGATGCTCATGAGGTAAGCGATGTCAAGAGATACAGTGTACAATCCGGGAATTTTGCGGTGTTCCACTTATAAAACTACAGTCGTACAGCGTGGTCGACTAAGATCAAGTTACCCCTGAGGGTAAACTCCAAGTCGCTCAGTGGGGAAACGTTGTTTTTGGTATAGGGCGAAAGATAACGTGTCTTTTTTATTTTTATTTTTATATAAAAGACAGGGTTATGTTAGATTTCTACACTTAAAACCTCCTCAGCGGTACTCAGGTGCAATGGATGGAATGCATCGGTACCATCTGTATTGAGCTGTTGCTCGATCTCCGATTTTTTTTTTTTTGCCAAATGGCAAAACGGGACTGCGCCGTGTTGCTTTCGTTGCTGAGTTGTTTTCCGTTGTTCTCGCTGAGTTGAAGAATCTAGCGCTGGCTTGTACCACTGGAGTGGAATGATGTAAAGTATGATGATGGTGTGTTCTAGCTGGTGCAGATGGTGACGTGGGCGCGCGTGAGCCCGGTGGAGGCGCTGGCGTACTTCAGCCGGCAGTACCCGCCGCACCCGCTGTCGGCGCAGGCGGCCGTCAACGCGCTCACCTCCTACCCCTCCTCCGCCGTGCTGCTCTACATCCCGCAGCTGGTGCAGGCGCTGCGCCACGACACGGTATGCTGTTATATCAAACACTCGCAAACGACCAAGAGGCTAAAGTCGCCGAAATAGCGAAGCAACTGTTGCCGTTCATTTTGAGTTATTTCCTCTGAAAATTCCATTTCTCTTTTCTATTTTTTATCTACTTGCAAGAAATAGTTAGAAAAGGGCAAATTCTGCCTCCGGTACGTAGTTAAATACCACACTCACAACCGTTAAGGCTCATTTACACGATGCAAGGATTTTGTTGCAATTAAATTAATATTAAAATGAAATTGTAGCAATCATTATCTTATATAGTCTAAACAACTTATTAAAAAAACAATTATTGCTTCAATTGTATTGTATGCAACTGGCAAAAAAGCGTCATGTAAATGTGCCTTTAGTGACACTTACGGCCGAATATTGAAATGACATTTTTGACGTTTGTCAGTTTTGTAAGCGGTACAAAGCGAAGTGATAAGAATTAATTTTGGTATCAGATGGGGTACGTGGCGGAGCTGATCAAGTCGTTGGCCAAGAAGTCCCAGGTGGTGGCGCATCAGCTCATCTGGAACATGCACACCAACATGTACACCGACGAGGAGATGCACCATAAAGACAGTTTGTTACCAAATAACCTTTATTGCATACAGAATAGAGTTCAAAGTTATTGTATGATTGCATGTCATGTTAATTGATGTATGAAATTTATTGGTAATCAGAAATTATAAACACATTTTTTACTGCCTGATTATGTTCTTTTATTGTCTATGGATTTGGACAATATAAGTGTTTAAAGTAATGGGTATAGACACGTCTGTTTTTTATAAGTCTATGATTACAGCCTTATAAAGGTAAATTTTTTAGACTGTTTCGTTATTTTTTTAATTTTATTGAATTCTAGTATTAACTATTACTTCATTATCTTTCGAATATTTGCGTTTCTTATGTTTTTAAGTATGTATTGTTTGTTTTCAGTGGCTCTCTACGATATTCTAGAATCTCTAACAAAGAGTATAGTGGACACTCTGTCGGGGCCAGCTAAGGCTTTCTACGAACGAGAATTTGACTTCTTCAGTCAAATCACCAATATTAGTGGTATTATACGACCTTATCCTAAAGGTGCTGAACGAAAACGGGCATGTTTGGAAGCCCTTAAAAATGTCAAGGTGAGTTTTTTTTTTTAGTAATTTAATTCTATTGGTTGAATAATAAAGCTATTTTTTTTTCTATTTTAGGTTCAACCAGGATGTTATCTACCATCGAATCCAGATTCTATGGTTATTGATATAGACTACAAAAGCGGTATGTATTTTATTACGTATTTAGATAAAATGTTTTCATATTGTACTACAAAACGTAAATTGTATAATTACACTTTTTTTTTACCAAGTAATGTGGAATTGTAAATCTTATCAATTCTAAATGCACTTGTGTTTTGGCCTAAACGGTTTTTATTATTATACCGATATTTTTAACGGTATGTACAATATAAATTACTGTGTTATAAATCTTGTGTTGTATTTCACTAGACTTAAGTAAAAATCGTAATTTAAAAATAAAAAAATATTTACATAAAAGTCTTTAGTATAACTTTAGAGGGGAAAGTGAGGGTGTAAGATCGCATTAATTAAAAAAATAAACATATGCAGGTACTCCGATGCAGAGCGCGGCGAAGGCGCCGTACCTGGCGCGGTTCCGCGTGCGCAAGTACGGCATTGCAGACATGGAGGCCGTCGCCATGGCCATCGCCAGCGGGGAGGAGCCCCCCACTGTACGTCCCCCCCCACCTCCTCCTATACAGTTAACACTTCAAAGGAGAAATAGCTTTGTGTATAATCTACTAGCTTTCGCCTGCGACTCCGTCCACGTGGAATTTAAAAAAAAATGCAAAAGAAAGTAGTAGCGGTAGCATATGTGTTCTACCAGACTTGATAGTCTATTACGCTACTACTACAAATGCAAACATGATTATTTAGTGGGTTTTTACTGTCGAAATTCAAGTTAAAATAATTTTTATCAACTCTGAAAATATAGATAACAAAATTTTTAGCTTTCGTTCGCCTAGAATTAAATATCGTATAACAATGTTTAAAATGTATCGAATAGAACTCAAAAACAACTGGAGCGATTTAAAAAGTTCTTTCTCCTAATAGCTTTACCAATCACTAAGTTACAGGATATAATTTTTACTATATTTTTTTTATTAATATCACGCAAACCAAGTTGTAGGCAACTAGTATGTTAATATCGATGTTGCAGTGGTGAAAATAGAATGGTAGTAAAAAATAAGTTGCCATTTGTTAGCAGAATATAATTTTATTTATCGACATAGCTAATTTATAAACGGTATTTAAACAGGAGGAGGGCAAGGATCGTTTCACATGTATAGCGGCGGAGACGTGGCAGGCGGCCATCTTCAAGGTGGGCGACGACGTGCGCCAGGACATGCTGGCGCTGCAGGTCATCTCGCTCTTCAAGAACATCTTCCAGCAAGTCGGCCTCGACCTCTACCTCTTCCCGTACAAAGTGGTGGCTACCGCGCCCGGGGTCAGTCTCTATCTATGTGAACACACTTCAGCAATCTCACTGTCTTTTCAAATAATTTTTTTGTAATAAAAAGCCCAAAATTTACGATACGCTTTAGGCTATATATTTTCGCGCTATTGACCTTAAGGAGTTAATAAATTGCAAAAAGCCGTCTTACGGGAAAGGGACAAAAACTGCAAGATGATAACATCATAATATAATTTTATGCGGATGAAGCCGCATGGGATCAGCTAGTCTATTATAAAAAAACTACCTAGTCTCAAAACAATCGTTTTCCCTAATAAAATTTCATATGTGTAAAACCTACTTTAATTAGTGTTTATAACAAATTTTCGCTATTTATGATACCAGCTATTACTCACAGATAAATTACCTTTCTAACGGTGAAAGAATTTTTAAAATCAGCCTAGTAGTTTTTGAGTTATTTCAATACATACAAAAATACAAATCTTTCCTCTTTATAATACTAGTATAGATATCTATATATCACGTCGATCTCCAGGGTTTCCTAGTTTTTAAATGATTATATTTATTAAATTACTGGTCAGTGCCGTCACTGGAAAAAGTATGACGTAAGCAGTAATAACAGATTATATCTATATTGTCTGTCTGTCCGTGTGTCAGTGCGGCGTGATCGAGTGCGTGCCGAACGCGAAGTCGCGCGACCAGCTCGGCCGCCAGACTGACATCGGCATGTATGAATACTTCATCAAGAAATATGGAGACGAGACCACCAGGGAATTCCAGGTATGTTATATGTATAACGAGCTGTTGCCCGCGACTTCGTCCGCGTGGTATAAGAAAACATACAAACTATATAAATTACAAAAACCTACGTATCCCTCGGGAACCTGACATTTCTCGGGGATGAACCTCATCCCATGTGTACTCCAGACTTTGTTTTATATCTGTGCCAAATTTCAATAAGATATTTTGAACCGTTGCAGAATGATCGAGTAAACATTAAAAAACTAAATTAATGAATCCCACGGGAACCGTAACTATTCCAGGGATAAAAAGTAGTCTATGTGTTCTTCCAGACTATGCTCTAAACCTGTGCCAAATTTCATGGAGATCCGTTCAGCCGTTTAGGCTACAAACGCTAACAAACATTCATCCATCCATCCATCTATCCATCCATCCATCTAAACTTTCGCATTTATAATATTAGTAAGATTATTGCTTATATATAACAAATTTAATTATTTAAACTCATTGAAAACGTATAGAATTCATTTCTTGCAATAAAAAATTGAACATTATTGTCAAGTTGCCAAAATGTTAGATATTTTCTTGATAACCAATATTATTTACTACTAATTTTATTTCAATTCGGTAAACTATTTCCACTGGAGCGAAATCCGAACTGCTAAGTGGAAATAGGCATTTATCATCTCCCTTATCCTACTTCTGTAGGATCTCATGGCTTTAATAAACACTTATAGGTAATATTTGTTCGCAGGCGGCTCGCAGGTGCTTCGTGACGTCAATGGCGGCGTACAGCGTGATCGGCTTCCTGTTGCAGATCAAGGACCGGCACAATGGCAACATTATGCTGGATACTGACGGACATATTATACATATAGGTACGTCACGACTATCACATTTTTTATTATTATTATTTTAAAGCGGTTTAGGCTACAAACTAACAAATATAAACTTTCGCATTGATATTAGTCAGATTTTTTGGTTTTGTTTCTTATGGCAAGTGGTAATAAATAAAAGCGATAGTTAACCAGCATAACGTAAATTTGCAGATTTCGGATTCATGTTCGAGTCGTCGCCTGGTGGTAATCTGGGCTTCGAGCCCGACATCAAGCTGACGGATGAGATGGTGATGGTGATGGGCGGCAAGATGGAGGCCCCGCCCTTCCGCTGGTTCTGCGAGCTCTGCGTGCAGGCCTTTCTCGCTGTCAGGTAACCTTATATCATTGTGTTAAGGTCCATTATTGTTTGACAAGCTTCATAATCTAAGATGGATTTATTGCATTTATAGTCTCTGGATTAATATTTTTATAACCAGCTTTCGTCCACGTGGAGTAAAAAAAAGTAAATAGCCTATGTGCTCTTCCAGACCACGCTCTACATCTATGCCAAATTTCATCAAGATCCATTCAGATGTTCAGATTACAAAGTCTAACATTCATACATCCAAACTTTCACATTATAAGTAACCAATAAGCAGTATTGTAGATTAACTACGCTCTGATAATTTTTTCATGATATTTTTACAGGTAAATTAAAACTAATCATTATTTGACCAATGCTTTAATTATGAATTTTGATGTTTTTTTCCAGACCGTATCAAGAAGCGATAATATCTATGGTATCACTTATGCTCGACACCGGATTGCCCTGCTTCCGAGGTCAGACTATCCGTCTCCTTCGCTCTCGTTTCGCTCCCAATTCAACAGAGAAGGAGGCGGCGGCGTACATGCTCTCTGTCATACGAAATTCCTTCCTTAACTTTAGAACAAGGACGTATGACATGATACAGTATTATCAAAACCAAATACCATATTAAAAGGAACCCTATTCTTATAAAAATAGAGTTGAAAATACAAAGCGAAGAAAGTTCCAGAACAAATGATACGTGACTTTTTGAAACAAATGCTGCAGTAAAACTAATCTTAATTCGTGAGAAATAGAGTCGAAAGTCTTTTAATACCCAAAGGAAAATCAATATACAGTATTTTAAATACAAATAAACCGGACTAATATGGACATGGACATGACACTTCAGGGAAGATTATAAATTAACAACTTTTAAAAATATTGAAATGATCAAATTATATACAAGTGGGCAATGGAGTATTTAAGGAAATACTTTGTTACGACTTCCAATAATTTTATTTATCAATAAATAATGTAAACATGTACAAATGTTTGTGGAAATTATGAGACATCTCTCAAGAAGATATTTACAATCTTTTGCCTCCCGCTGAGATTTTCCATCAGCTGTTTCCGTGTTATTCCACAGAAATATTTTAATTAACGATATCTCTTATCTGCCATTATGGCTTAATCTTTATTTTCCTTAATAAGAATTAACAATTCACTTACTGTAATTAAATAATACTAAAAATAACAGTGCAAGTGTACTAAGAATTTAATAAAAAATATTCACTAAATGTATGTAGTAACTTACAAACAAGAATCATTATCAAGTTACATTTAGATGTGCAACACTAGATGTGGCATGGAATACCTAAATTAAGTATGCATTGGTAAATTATTTATTACTACTTCGGGTTTTAAACTGCTTTTTCTACCATAAATCTGTTTCCTCACTCATTTTTTCTAATGTTGTATACACAAAAAACTACTTAATTGGTGCTATCATTTCGTAAATACGCAGCCATTGTTGTAGCTGGTCTTTCTCTAGCTTAATAAGATAGCTTGGCTTATCCAGCTTGCTTTTTCTTTCAAAGTTCTTTGTGGAATTGCCAACATCCTAAACTTAAAAAAAATGTTATTGGCTGTTTCAATTTTTTTTTAAATACTAGATTGCCCACTTACATACATTATTCGATTATTACATTTTACTTTAATGGTGCAATGTATGTTAATATAGTTGAAATAGAGAAGTTTACTTGTCCTGGTGGATGGCTTGTTTATTAGCATGCTTCTATTATGCGTTGTTAATTTTTAATTAATCAGGTAAATATGAAAAATAGGCTTTTTATTTTAGGTTAGATGTCACATTTTTACGGCGTAGTAATTTTTTTAAATCTATGATTAATTTGATCGATAATACATCGAAATTATATGCCTTATTGATGTTGCAATATGTAAAAATTTATTTGGATTATTTTAGTATGTAAATATACTAAAAATCATACAATCATCACAAAATGTTACATGTTTTATGTATTTCTTTGCTGACTCAGACTTTTGCAGTTCTTTATATTTCAGCTGTTTTTTTTTTTTATCCAATTCATTGATTTAACTTAAACGAGCGTTTTATGAAATAAAACATATTTCAGTATTAAATTTTATTATCATATTTTCATTTTAGCCATTATGCTTGCCAACTACAAACAATAAAAAAGGCAATCCCTAGAGTATTGTGACAAATGAAAAACATTTGCTATCTCTGTTCTATAACAGGAATGAGAGGGATAAAATATGCTTCGGGTGGACACCCAATGCATTTACATTCTTACATAACTTATAAAACGGTGTTTTTATTATTAGGAAGCCTATTCTCTATTAACATCGTTATTTATAATAAACGTTAAACTATTTTTCAAGAATTATGTAATTTTTTATAATTAATATTTATATTGGCAATATAAATTATGGCGTTTCAATATTCATGAATATAGTTGATTAAATTATCAGCTTGTACAAGTTGGGTAGATATAGAATGTTACTTGGTGTTTGTAGTATTTTGTACACATGTTTCCTAATGTTTAAAAAATATTAACATAAATTATATTAGTGAGTAGTTAATTGTATCATATCAATATATAGTCAATATATTCAATAACATATTCAAGTATTTAAATAAATTAAGTTACCTATTTTTTACTGTTCCTTTGATGTTGCTAGTATTTATATTAGTTACTGTTAAGTTGTGCTGATTTATTGTTTTTTTAAAGATTTTAAAACTTACAGAAAAATGGGCATTTCTCGTTGAGTCTTTTAGATTCTATCTAGATTAATCAAAGAATTCCATTCCGCTGATAGATTGCTGGTCGGCCCAACAGAAAACACAATTAAAATTATCAATTTGAATTAGTAATTAAAAATATCCAAACCAAACATAACACATTTTTAAGAGTTTGCAGTTGTAGTTCACTCACTTTTAATTTACAATCATAGATAGAAATTAAATTATTTTATTCAATGTAAATATTCTATATGATCAAATAATGTGTATTTTATTTATGTTCAATTTTTATTATTAAAAAAATGATATTGTCAATATCTGGCTGGTTTTTTGTAAATTTACTTAAAGTATTTTAACATTCCTATTACTTCATGTTGAAATAAAGTATTAAATGAATAATTTGTTTTAATGTTATAGTTTTGTCTATTCAACTCAAGGTAAGATAAAAATGTGTTTAGACCATCTTACTAATTCTTATTATTATAAATGCGAAAGTTTAGATGGATAGATGGATGGATGTTAGCATTTGTAGCCAAAAAGGCTGAACGGATTTCGACGAAATTTGGTGTAGATGTAGAGAATAATCTAGAAGAACACATAGGCTACTTACTTTTGTTTTTTTTTATTCCACGCGGACGTAGTCGCGGGCGACAGCTAGTACTGTTATAAATGAGGAAGTTTAGATGGATGGATGGATGCAGGTTTGTTAAAGTTTGTACTCTAAACGACGGAACGGATCTGGATGAAATTTAGAATACATGTAGAGAATAGTGTGCAGAACACATAGGCTACTCACTTTTGTTTTTTTGAATAGCAAGCGGACAAAGTCTATTAGAGAATCAATAGATAAAGTTAGTGTTTTTATAAATTTGTTTCGTCTATTAAAACTCAAGATAAAATAGAAATGAGTTGAGGCCATGAATAAAATTTTTGAATTGAAAAGTTCCTAAAAGAAAGTATCCAAGGTAAAAAAAAGGTGGGTAAGGTAGATTAAACAATAGGGAATATGAGTGTTTTTCTTTTCTTTTTTTAAACGATTCTACTTGTTATAAAATAACCAGAAAAAAGTACTGACGCGAAAATATTCAACCTTTGAGCTAAAAATAATAAAATAAAATTTGTTTACAGTAAAATACTTCAAGAGTGTATTTCTATATAAACTAACGTTAATGAACGGTGTATTGACAACACAGCAACGATATAGATAAGCCATTTGCTTCGACCAATAGTGTGCGTTTTAGGACTTAGCGAGGGAATTTGAAAAAAAAAACACTTTTTAATGATTAAATTTTGCCACTACATCATATTATATTTAAAAAAAATTTGCAGGAATGTTTTTTAGTTATAAAGTACACTTAAAAAAAGTTTGGTGCAATTTGGCGTTATATGCATATTGTCTATTACTTTTTTTTATATTATAAATGATCAATATAAATATTAACAATTATCATTGCTTTCAATAAATGATAAATAGAACTCCAGCTTTTTAACATTTTTCTTAACTTCACTTAAATCTAACTTTGGTAAATAATTCATGTTTTCAGGGAATTTCTTACAAAATGTACCTTTGGGTTTTGGAATATCTTCCTTAGTAGTGGTTTTTAAATTTGATTTTGCTTCGTTGAAGATTTCTATTAGATGGGAGAGAGCTGATTTGCAATAGTATGCATTATTATCCCTGCTTGGTCCTTTTAACATTAAAAATGTATCATGTTTCATAACTTCTAGGCTTGTTTCATCCGTTTCTATTAATTCACTCTGAAAAGAAATCAAGTTGAGGTTATTTTTGAACACAGAATATAGTCAGCAGGAAAGGGGTGACTAGGCCATTGTAAACCGTCCCGGCCCAGTGAAGATTGACTTTGCACAGATCTTATTTTTTTTATGGATATGCAGGTCACACTATTCTTTCCTTGACCATAAAAAGATCAAATAAGTATAAATCAAAAACAGTTTATAGCAGGAATTGAACCTGGACCAGTTATGGTTCTTTACACACATTTAATTATTATTTCATACCTGTAGACATTTCTGTGCAACAGACTCCACAGAAGTCACCAAATCATCAAAATTAGTACTAGAGGATAGATTCTGACAGATATCCAGTATATGTGTGACAGCTACTACAGCATCAATCTCTCCGTTAAAATACCTCATTACAAATGCATATGATGCAAGCACATTTGTTATGTTAAATGATATAGCTGGTGATGGTTTTACATTCTGAAACAATTCAGTCATAATTTAGTTATTGTTTAAATTGTTAATTGCATTTAATGAAGACATTTACAGCTTGTATTTCTAAATGAATGATCATTTTAACTGAACCACTAGAGTAAGGCTTTTTAAAGGTTTTGTACTGCTGTCATTTTTAATTAATGTTAAAATTTAAGTTTATCAAAAAACAGCACTACTAAATATATAATTTCTTAGGGAAGGGTACTGCACATATACAATGTTATGAGAAAATACATACAGTTAATGTGTTAAATTTTGGCACAGATTTGATACATGGACATTTCTTTAAATGCTCATCCATTTCTGAGCTTTCAACTTCCTCCACAAGCTTTCCATCTTTATTGTACATCCACCATGGTTCCCATTGCGGTAAAACGGAGCCCACATTTCCTCTTACAACTGCTTCAAATTCGTTCTTCTCATCTTCTGTTAGTGCATTCCATAATACCTCTGCATTATTAAGGTCCAAATTTTTGAGACGTTCGTGCAAATCGATTGGGATATCATCGTCCGAATCGATACTTTCTTCAATATCAACGTCTTCTTCATCTACGTCATTTTGAACTCTTTTAAGTATATCGATCATTCTACGCTTCGCTTCATCTCCCGCATGATAAGAAGACAGCTCTTCGTTAACACAATCTTCGTAAAAACTCTCCGAGCATTCTAAATGTTTATCGGACTGGTAGCAAAGAAGTGAGCAATATAGTATTCCACATCGTGGACAGCAATATTTACTTCTATGGATCGTACATCTGTAATGTATTTTATGTAGTAAATTTTACTGTAGTAAAATAATGTTATTATTGATTAAAAATTGATACACTTACATTCCGCACAACATCTCGTCTTTATTTGAAGAGCCCTCCATAATGATAAATAACTTTTGTTTATCTTATTAAACACTTGCATTTATCGTAGAAAATCTCACACAAATATCATTTTACTGATATCTACAAAAACAAACAGCGATTTCCGAAGTGAATGGAAATGAAGTTTTTTTTATGTTTTGGGTTTTATTTAGAGTCTAGAGATGTGCTAGGTTTACGATTATACTTTACTAGGATTAGTTGTTTTTGACTCTCATTTATGTTTTGATCTATTTATCAAAAATATGCAGTCTCTTCGTCAAAAAACAAATTCTTGGTAGTAGAAATATCATTTTACTTTTGGGTTTTCTTAACTTACTCCAGGCTTCATCATGGGTCTTCACTACTCACATTTAATTTGACATTGACAGATGACATGTTTTTGATTTTTTTACCGGTGAACTGTGAAATTATTATTAAATTAATAAATCAATTTAATAGAAGTAAAGTTGTCGTTGATATAATTAATATGGGTTCATTTTAATTATTTCCGTTAGTTGCTAAAATGGCAGAGCCCGAAATAGTTGAGGATTTTTTCGGTGTTTATTTATTATATTGTATAAATCCAAAATACAAAGGTAGAACATATATAGGGTACACAAGAGATCCAAATAGAAGAATTAAGCAACATAACAGAGGGACGTGGGCTGGTGGTGCTTATCGGACTAGTAATAAAGGACCATGGTTTGTAACATTTCCCGCGCTTTTGGTGTTATTTTCAAATGTTTTGTATTTTTTACTTACTATGATTGTTATAATTGTATTTTGTATTACTCTTTTAACAGAATATTGTCTATTTAGTAGTTATCTTCACTATTCTACATATTGTATTGATGAAACATTATTTTTTTTTTAATAATGTAGCTGAGTAAGAAACAGTTATACTCTCATTTTTTCCTGCATTGTTATTATCTAAGTTAAATTATCTCGACATTAAGTTATGTGCATTGTTTTAATGTATACATTATTAGAGTTGTTTTCATGTGAAAACTTATTGTTTTCTATAATAATATTCTAAATGTTCTTGTGACCTACCTAACGGTGTAAACTGTATGACTTTGATAGAGTTACAGTTATAAATTCAGTTTTTGTACCATGTATTTATTTATATAATCACTAATAAGACTACTATTTACTTTTCCAAATCATCATTTACATAGCCGAATTTGATACATTTGGCAATTCTAAAAAAATGATAAACATTTTTTAATAGTAAAGTTACCAATAAACTCTTTTAACCTTGTGTTTCCATTACTAAAACACATGTGCAAAATGTCATCTATTCTTTTTGAGAAACACAGATAACATGTTTCACTAGTGGAAACTCGCTGTTAGATGCAAAGTATAAAAAGTGAGATTTACCAAACGTTTGAGGTCGTGCGAGCATTCGCGACAACACTGACTGCATTATAATTGCTCGATTTAAGTTCAAGAGGCGACATTGTTGAGAATTGCGTGACAACCGTTTTAAACTATGTGTTTACAGGAAGATGGTAATGGTAGTGCATGGTTTCCCAAACAATATATCAGCGTTAAGAGTAAGTAAATATATTACTAATTAGTTATTCAATTTAAATTACGAATTTTCACATCCATGAGTGGGCATATATGGCAGCTTTGTGTTTATTGTCAAAAAACGATTGATTTATTTTCTTTATCTGTAGTACGCGATTTTACATTTGTTTAAAGTTTCTAATTGATAAAGTTATCGGTGTTTCTTCTATTCTCTATAATAATTTCTCTATAACATTTTAGTTTGAATGGGCGTGGCAGAATCCTAATAAAACAACGAGGTTGCAATATTTAAACTTAAGGAAAATCCCACGAAAAGAATCGGAATTTAAGTTTAAGATTCGAGTGTTATCAGAAATGCTACGAGTTGGTCCGTGGCATCGACTGCCGCTGGTTGTCAGGTGGCTGGAACAAGATTATTACGAAGAGTTTCCAGTACGTATGAAGATATTATACTTGCAGACTTAATTTAAAAATCACGCAAAAGTTGATCGCATGTTACAAGTAGAACGTTGGTTATGAGTGTGGAAGGTTACACCGGTAGAGGTAGACCTAGAAAGAGACGGATGGATATCGTAAAAGGTGACATGATCAAAAAGAGAGTGATGACTGAGATGACGTATGATAGAGTTATTTGGAGCACGAAAACCCTTTTGTGCCGACCCTACGGGAGTAGGATAAGGAGAAAGATGATGACGCAAAAGTTGATCAAATATGATATCGTAAAAAAAGTGTGTTTTTGTACTAGTTTAGTTAACTGTTGGACTTTATGCGACTTTTGAAAATACAAAAGCTATAAAATTTAATAGCCTTTTTTACCGAAAGATATTTATATGTTTAATGTTAACGAAATACCGTAAGATATGTCTATCAATAGAAATAGCAATTTGAAATTAATTCAATGAATTAATTATTTCCATTTCATTTTCAGCCTGATAAAAAACCACCATCGCATATGGTACTAACAAATGGACCAGTCCGAGCGAAACTATTGCAAAAATCAGACTCGAATATAGCAACACTGGATATAAAATGTTCACTCTGTTCTCTTAATTTAAATTCAAACAAACTGACATGCTTGAATGTAAACTGCGAACTGGTAACACACATAACTTGTTTGGCGGATGTTTTTTTAACAAGTGGGGAATTTATACCAATTGAGGGCGACTGTCCCTTTTGCGGTATGAAATTGAAGTGGGGGGATTTGATAAGGAAAATGAAAGGTTGTTCACAATACACTGACGCAGATGCAATTGATGATGAAAAGGAGGATGATAGTGATAATGACGTAATTTGCACTCAAGATAGAGAATTCGTGAACACTGAATCTTGGCAATTTGATGATGAAAATTTATGACGAAATATAATCTTAAATAGTAATATGTGTTTTATTTTTAATATTTACGAAATAGCAAACGTATACATTACTAAGTAATCGTATTTAAAAGTCAGGGTCGTATAAAAATATCAGGCGCCCGGGTGTGAAAAGAAATACTTCCATTGACTGACGTCCCAAAGAGACCGGCGCCTGTGCGCCACTTTAAGGTTTGGCTTCCGGGCGTTCCGTACCTCTTCATCATTGCTCCCGTGGCTTAGCCTTGCTAATAAAATGTATAGTACACTGATGAAGACGTATTTAATTATTATATTCATTAATATTGTAAAACTAGCTGGTCCCGTGCGACTTCATCCGCATATAATTATGAAAATTTTATTTTATTATTTACATGTGTCAAATTATCAATTGCAAATGTCAAAATGACATGACTATGACAACCCATGGCAACCTTGCTTCCTTAATGTTGGCAACAACTTATGGTCTCTTTCCAAAATTAGGGTTTTTATCCAAAATATTTACCTCCTAAGTTTGATGGCGTGAAAATATATAGCCTAAAGCGTGACGTAACTGTAGGGCTTTTTATTAAAAAAGGAATTATTCAAAAGTATGCTGTAATTGCTGACATCTTTGGCAAAAAGAAGTGTGTGTTTACGCTTTATTATAATAGTATAGATATGTTTTCACCTAAGCAACGTCGAGCACGAATAGCTATTCGTATAAATATTTATCAAAAAGAATGTCCATTCAACAGTAAATGATACGCTTTCCTATGTATAATAGATTAAAAAAGACAAATAGACCGGAAAAACGAGTAAATCTTACAGAAAACTGAAAGCCAGCAAAGCTAAATGAAACTGCTTTTACAAAATATAAATTATATTTACATTAAAAATATACAGCCATGTATAAAATAAATTAGAAATTAAATTATTTCGTGTAACAGGTATGTATGTACATTACAGAACTAAATAAAAATAAACAATAACAATGATAATTAGCCTTATCATTACGTATACGAATTTAATATATTTAAGTTTTTTAAATGCAATATTATTTGGTATAGAGTAATTTTTTTTAAATGTTTGACACAACACGGACTTCACAACCACCGAAGAACCAAATATCAAACGATCACTTCCAATTGAACACTCTAGTAATCATCAAATATGCTTTCTTCATCATCGTCATCACCGAACAGATCATCATCATCATCAGCTCCCGGCGGAACAAATGCACCATCAAGTATTTGACTGACAGGTTCATCGAAACCCAACACTTTAGCGAAACCATAAACTAACCTCATCACAACTAATCTCGTAAAGTCAACCGGCGTGGTTTCCTTCCTCTGCAGTACCAACTGTTTCTCCGTCGGATAATCCATTTTCTTCTTCTTCATTTCACACAACGAAACCAATAAGCAAAGTGTTATAAATAAAACGTATTTAGCCGCCATTTTCATTTTAATTTCCCGCCAATTTGTACGTCAAATGATGTCGCGTTTATTGCATTCTTCGTTGAAAGTATTTTGAGGCAAGGTAACGGAGTTTTTCGCGTGCGGCTGATGCTTTCGAGTGCAGACGATCGTGTGGCACTACGACTGGCAGTGTGTCAAGCCAATAAGTATGGATAACGGTTATACCACACGTAGCATAAACAGTTTATTACAATTAGCTGCGTGAAAATGTGCAAGACATTTACGGGAGCGAAGGAATCTCGAAGCGATTAACTTTCACTATTAATATATAAGGAGGGTTATGTTATTTATTGTTCAGAATTTAAAAATGTACAACTTGTTATTGCACGCCACTTTGTCCAGGTTTTCTCCTGAAATTAAAATAAAAGAAAATATTGATTCTTGTTATTTTTGGGATGAAAAAACGAAGTATTAGTCACTGATCTGCTAAAGTTTAAGATAAAAAAATTATCATTGAACCATAAGCGTTGTTTCCAATCTATGTCAATGCAATACTTTAAATAACCGAGATAAGTATAGTTGTTGACTGTTGATTCGAGTAAAGCAGAAGACTGGCTGGTTTTATAAAGTAAGTAGATACAATTTTTTGTTGTTCAATTACTCCTTTAAAGTGTACGCTGTCTTTATTGAATGCAAAATATTAAATTTCTATGAAAGAGACCTTATCACTTGCATTGAAACGACTAATTATAATCAATAAATGACACCTTAAATGGTACGTCTTTCCTATCCAATGCTTATCGATTCTGAACCGAACGGCCGCCGGTGAAAGTGTAATGTGGACCAATAGCCTACTTCACTTTACCATTTGTAGCTTTTTAAATATTTTTTCCGGTGTATCTCAACTGTCACACCTGTATTGCGGCAATATCAATAACTTTTTTATTATTTTTAGATAAAAGGGACAGAAATAGTGTTCGTGGTTATCACTTCATTCAGCTCATTCGCAACAAGTTTGAATTTAGTTGAATGACGTCATTAAAGCGTGGGTACAAGGTTCAAAAAAGTTTACATCGAAAAATATTTCAAAAGACTATATTTAGCTTCGTTGTTCAATGAAAAACTAATACACCTTACATTTTACAATGAGCAATCTTTTGTCAGTGTGTAAGATTAGTACATATTTTATTTAATAACTAGCTTTTGTTCATGTCTTTGTCCACGCGGAATTTTAAAAAAATAGCCTATGTGATAATGTAGCTTTCTAATGGCGACAGATTTAGTAATCGACCCAGTTATTGAATTTATTAATTACATACAAAAATACTAATCGTTCTTCTTTCTTAATTAGGTTTAGATTTATATACATTTAATGGTTAATAAAAAAACTCTGAGTACGGCAGTTCGTTCCTTATTTTTCGTTTAAACATTATGTTTTTAAATATCAAGTTATTAATTCAGTATGATAGAGTTGTTTTAAAACCACAAAATAAACTTTAATTAAACGTATAAACTCGTTTTAACAATATTAAATCCATAATTCTTACATAAACTACCTTGTTATGTTTTAAATGTCTATTAATTAAGTTTTTTTCTTTAATTAAACCTTTTTGTGTGATTATAATCGTAACAATGCTTGGATGGTATGAAGTATTTTATTTAAAACGTGCTCTGTGTTTGACTCAGGGTTATGGTTCGCGATGAGTAAACGCGAAGGATTTCCGCGGTGAATAAAAAAAATGCGGATGTTTGTGACGTGAATCGTGTCTATGCTATAAGCAAAAATACTATAGACCAGCTGCAGTACATACATTATAAAATTGCAACAAATTACACCTGTAACCCAGTGTGGTAGATAGATAGATAGCAAGATAGGAGGCATAAAAGGTGGTGTTAGGTACTCGTAAACAATATGGATGTATGGGTAAAAGCGTGAATGTAAAAGAGGACGGAAAGTTTTACAAAACCGCGCGAAATAGAAATCCGAATTCTATAGATAACGACGATTTTTTTTTACTTTACCGATCTTTATAGACCAAGATATTCAAAGGATTGTCTACGCCAATGAATATGACAAAATGTTTGTCTATAATAGACAAGATGAACGACCTTTCCAGGGTTTTAACATTAGTGGACAACTAGTCAAGTGGTATTTCCAAGCCGATGCAATCTGAAGTTCAAGAAGACATCGTACCCTAAAGTTAACTAACTAGAGCTGTATCTATAATAAACAATATGTCATTCTGGCACTTAGTGGTTTTTACGTTTTTTTTTTCAAAGAGGCTAACGACTACGTCTAACGATTGCATTTAAATACTGCAGTGTTTTTTAATCGGTCAATATCAACATTATTTCGAAATGGAAACCTTTCGGCTCGTTTTGAATTTCGAAGGCCGTTAAAAAGATATTTTTTTGAATATAGAAGACGATAAAATCGAATTATGCAATGTGCAAGGTTGTTTCGCAATGCAGATCCAAATATCTTTATACAAGGTTTCGGGTCACTTATGCATTTTTAATAAATACTAGAAATAAAAAATATATATATGTCATCGCGCATTTTCAAGCGCACAAATTTAAAATGAGAGAAAAAAAGGCTTATTAAAATTAAATTGGTTTAATTTAATTTTCCATTAAAATATAACTTACCAAAAGTTTGAGAAAAGTAGAAATACTGGCGTCATATTTAAATTAAGAACAATCGTAATTTTTATTCATCTTTGTATATCTTTTAGCATTTAACTTATTTATAGAAACCTTGTGCAAATTAACTTCCTACGTGAAAGTACCTCAACGTTCTTTAATAAATTGATTTCAAAGACATGTACTTTGTTAAAGGTTATATAAACAAATATATTGAATACTATTAAAATAAATTTAATTTTGTTGTAAAAAAATGTTATTTCAATGTTTTTTTATACATTTTTTAACCAGAAAGTGATTCAAGAAAACACTTCAACTAATAGAAGTTAAATAAATTGCAAAATGTCATATTTGTGTGCTTTCGCATGTATGGCTAGCTTTACAAGGAAAGTACAATGACCTCATTGAATACCGGTGTAAAGTATTTATTATGTTTAGTTAGGTAAGCGCTAGGGTTGGCAACTTTCAATAAATAACCGAACAGTGGTGCCAAAAATACTTATCGATGACTTTTGGTTAACATTTTAGCGAACGAGGAAAATAAACGTCCTTGATTGTAGGATAAAATTAGCCATTTTTAGTGCGTTTTTATAAACTGGCCATTTTGGTCTGAGTACGTCAATGTCAAATCATGCAAACGAAGAATTGAACAAATTGGAAGATGTGTCAGCCCTAACGTAAGTTTTTTTTTGTGCTTTCGTATCTATAAACGTTTAAACTTGCCTCAAAGGTGTTATTTTTTTAAGACGTAGAACCAGTTGTTGTGATTAGTTGATAGCCGATAATTATTTTTTTAATGTAAAATTGCGAATTTAAGAACCTGGTAAAAACCCATGATGCTAAGCAGATAAATATGAGTAAGATTTTAAAATGTCAATAAAAACAAATAGACGTCTTTATGTATGTTTGCAGACAAGGTAAATATATTATTTTTAAAGCTGAGATGGATCTTCAATAAAATTTAACACAGGCAGTTTAGAATGTCTGATGAATTAAGACTTTAATTTTGAATTTCGAATATAAACAACGTTAAGGTTTTTTATGGTCGGGAATTCTGTCAGTTACAAAGTTTTCTGTTGATTATTACATTTGCCAGAATCTTGTTGATTTCGAGAATCATTTGAAGAATATGTTCACACCCTTCGTAAATATAAAAACCTCTACACAAAAGATGAGTGTCCTCCAAATGTTGTCATGCTGCCATTTTGCGTAGAGATTTTTCCTTATAAGCAAAATTAATAAAACACATTGAATTCTTAAGTCTATTACCTTCGATGAGGTGAGATAGAGATTTGTTACCTACACAGTCCTTCACAAAAGACTGCTTATGGTAGAAATGACCTTGAAATTCCCGCCAAAAACAAAAAGACGCTAACGATATCTATATCATTTTGCAGTTTTTTTCTTTAATAGGTATAATACAGTTCTAAAACCAGTACATTGACATTAGTGGTGCAGGTGTTTTTTTTCTCACATATATGTAAGCTTGTTTAAGTCTGCGATCAGTAGTGTTGTAACATTTAGATGGACAACATGTATCTCGTGTTCGCGCTATCGTCTTTGATTTATGTGAGTTTTAATTTATAATCTATATTTTGTTTCGAAGTAATGTGATTTAGAGTACTTTAGCAATAATAACCAATAAAAATAAATAGCTTTTTTTGTTATTCAGGTTATCTGTTTATTATTTTTGATGCGCTTGTTGTTGACTACCTAGTCTCGTGTTTTTTATTAAGTTTTTTTAATGGTTTTTGATGTCATATGCCACTAACTACATATGCTCGATGTAGTTTTGTAAATATTAAGTTGATATTTCAATTAAAGTTACAAAAAAATCTATTTTTTATTCTCGTGGCTACCAAAGGTCCCACAGCCTTGAATGCGAGGTTATAAAAAATTAGTTTTGAGTATTTTTAGTGTATTCTAAATTGCATAGTTATTTGTACCGCATCATTTAATAATCTAGTGGTTTAACTTTGTAAAGCTTTTATTTATCAAGGTTTTCGTAACCAAAAAATAGGACAAAGTGTATGCCAATTATTAATGTCTATCTATATTAATATTATGAAATGAAATGAAAATATTTATTATTAACAGTAAAGATTACACAAAGACAAATAACTTTTGACAATAACTTAAAATTATACATGACAGAAAGTTGTTATCATAAGTTACTATACATGGTTATTCGAGTAAATCTGGTGATGGCCGCACTAGGCAATGCCTTTATCGTGGCCACCGAAAATTCATACATACTATCCGGATCCATACATAAAATTACAGAAGCCCACACTCAGGGCAGCGTCTATAACGCGTATTTAATTAAAAGTTACTCATATATAAATTTATCTTACTTCTTACTAATATTATAAATGCGAAAGTTTAGATGGATGGATGGATAGATGGATGTTTGTTAGCGTTTGTAGCCTAAACGGCTGAACGGATCTCCATGAAATTTGGCGAAGTTTTAGAGCATAGTCTGGAAGAACACTTAGGCTACTTTTTATCCCGGGATAAGTTACGGTTCCCGTGGGATTCATTAATTTAGTTTTTTAATGTTTAGTCGATCATTCTGCAACGGTTCAACATATCTTATTGAAATTTGGCACAGATATAAAACTAAGTCTGAAGTACACATGGGATAAGATCATTCCCGAGGTGTCCGGTTCCCGAGGGATACGTAGCGTTTTGTTATTTATATAGTTCGTATGTTTTCTAATACCAGACGAAGTCGCGGGCAACAGCTCGTGAATTATAAAGAGAAAAGATTTGTATTTTTGTTTGTATTAAAATAACTCAAAAACAACTGGGCCGATTTTAATAATTCTTTCACCATTAAAAAGTTACGTTCTCAGGAAGTAACATAGGCTGTATTTTTTTATTTCACGCGGGCGAAGTCGCGAACAACAACTAGTCATTAAACAAAATGCAAAATTAGAATGAGGTTTTTCATGGTTTTTATCGAATTAATATTTTAAATAATTATCTACTTGCTTTTTGGATATGATTCCAAAATATTTAATACAAATAAAAGGAAAATGGATATCAAAATCCAAACTAAACTTCGATTCTCTTCAAGCAAGTGAAATCTAAATCAAAAGAAAGCTCCATTTAAAACTTAACAAAACCTATTCATGGTAACTGACTGAACTTTGTCACGACGTCCCATTTAGATGTTGTAACTAACAGTTGATATTTAAAATGTTGCAATCATCGTATGTGAACGTATAAAGCGTTTGCGACACCAATGTTATGTCAGTTTTAAATCGAACTAGAGACACGATCCGGTTAAGGGATAACAGAGCAATTTTTCCTATCGTAATCTTACCCATATGTTTGTAGCATGTTACCAATTGATTGCGAACTTCGTCGATTGATGAAATGTCCGATTGATATTTCTAACATAATCTTAAACACATGGTTTTGTCTTTTGACTCATTGGGTATATAGTTGTTAATTTGCTCACCACTTCATCCGGACATTAAAAAAATGTAAAAATGTAGTCTATGATACTCAGTGATATGATAGCTTTTTAAAGGTGCAAGAATTATAAAATCGGTACATATGGAAATTCAAAAATCCAAAGTACTTTATAATAGTATAGATTATATTAAAAATTAATATTTCGGTCCAAAGTCGATACTTTTCTATATCAGTACCAGAATACTAACAATTACTATTTTATTAAATACTTTGGTTGAGATATAATAGTAATAATTTTGTTTTTAAAAATAGTCAACTCTCAGATTCAGCGTGTGGTTCAACGTCTATAGTAAATCATCAGGTAAACGGCCTATTAATCTCTATGTAGATTAAAAATCATCTTTAATCGAATATTCATTTAAAAATTGACTCATCCTTGCACGTGGCTGAACAGGGAAAAACCGCATGTAAACATTTATATTGGTATCAGTTTTTATTTTATCGACTATAATATTAACTGGCAGCTTAGAAACTTACGTCTAAGATGCTGTTTATAATAAAAAAAAAAAACTCTGGTTAATTAACGTTGGAATTTTCGTATCGCGGAAGGAATTACAAATTATGTTATTTGATAAAAAAGAGTAAATCGTAATTAATTCTGTTAGAATATAACTATTTTGCAGAATTTGAATTATTTCATTATGTAATTATAAACTTTGTACATCTAATGGCCATAGGCCCAATAACAAGATCGTAGGGTACCGAATAACAAGACGACACCTTCCAATGCATCCTTGTGTCGCAAATATTTCAATACAGATAATAAATTAAATGAATATTTAGACGATCTTACTATATGTTTTTAATCTGTATCTTAGAGGATTGCAAATAGGAATGCCGTTATTTTGCAGATGGCGGGAGCGTCTCGGGCGCCGTGCGTGGAATTAAACGATGGAAATCTGATGCCGATCGTTGCCCTGGGAACTGGTAGGGGCACCGCTAAGGAGGTAACATCTATTAAATACTATACAAACTTCATGAAGGCTTGCATTTTCCCACGTGATAAGCTCAGGAGCTATATTTATGTCCAATGTGGGAAGATCTGCGGTTTTAAAAATAGTATGTTTACTTGGAAAATCACAATGTTTATGCGTAATTGGTAATTATAAATACAGGAATATAATGTCATGGTTCATGATTATTAAAGGGACATTATTTATCTGATGTTTGTGCGTCATTAAATTGACATTTTGATTAAATGTAAATAATGTTAACTCGTTCATCGATAGGAAGAGATTTTTTGTATCGTAACATTATTAAGAAGAGGGAAAGAAGACTGAAATGATGATTGAAATAACTACGTCTTCGGACTCCACTTCTTTAAATAACATAAGGTGGCAAACGAGCAAGCGGCAATCTGAATCCACCGAAATGGAAAGCGACCACTGCTCATAGACATCCGCAATTGCAGATGCGTTGCCTACCCTTATCCGACGGGGGAGGAGACACACATAAAGAGGAAATTTTCCCTTCCTATGCGTCTCCACCGACAAATCCACTTTTCCTTCCCATTCTTTCCTATTAAGAAAACGGTGGAAAGGGAAAGGGACTAAAATTAGGCCTCTGGCACCACACTCATTAGACGAAACGCGAAATTGCTTCCACTTCACGTCTGTTTTCTCTGTGTTCGTGGAATTACACTGGGCGAGTCGGCCCATTCGTGCGAAGATATTAAAGCGGGCTCTACCACTGTTAAAAAACTTAAAGTGAGATAAGGCCACGATGAATTGGGTATCTATGTTAGAGATGTCCAGTTATACAATGTTAGTTCTGTCATGTTGCTATACAAACATAGATTATCTACATAAGAATCAAGCGCTGGTTTAAAAAGATAATTATTAAAATTATTTGATGCTCATTTTTTTCCGTTTCCAGAATGAATCAGTAGACGAGGTGCGTAAGGCCGTGTTCTGGGCGCTAGAAGCTGGCTATCGGCATATCGACACAGCCGCTGTGTATGATGACGAGGAACAAGTCGGCCAGGGGATAGCTGAGGCGATACAGAAGAACATCGTCACTAGAGAAGATATATTCGTTACGACAAAGGTAACATGATTTATTTATCTTCAGTGAAATTGTCCATTGACAGATGTAGATTTCTAGAAAAATGAGGTGGAAAACAACCTACAAAGCTTAAAATTTTACTAAAAGTGAATGCGGAAAAAAGTTAAACTTAGTATAAGCAAATATTAGTACAAATTTTGCTTATACTCAGTTTATTAAGTAAACTTTATACCGCGTTTATCTGTAAGAGCTCTTAGGCTAAGATTGGGACTGGGGTTCATAGACGAAATTCTAGACTCGTACAACGTTAGGCTATCCTAGATAGTTACTATGTTTTTTTTAGAGTATAAACCTAGAATAATATTAGAAATTCTTAGTTCCGTTTGTAAATGGTATACATATATTGACATCTCTCTCATCTTTAAAGAAAAAGGAGACGACTATGGTTTTAGTTGGTCCGGTTCTAAATCATATTATTTATGTATTATAATAATTATGTTATTATATTCCAGTTGTGGAACGACAAGCATCGTCGTGAGCAAGTGGTGCCGGCGCTGCAGGAATCATTGAGACGTCTCGGCCTCGCCTACGTCGATCTCTTCCTCATACACTTCCCAGTCGCTACTAAAGTAAGTTTAAAAGCGTCCACAGTTTTCACACAACTGTCTAATCACACTTTTATTCCTATGAGTTGATATTCTATTTTTAGTCAAAGATGTGCGCCCACTCTTAGTCTATTTTATCGTAGAAGTGAATGGAAACTAAGAACCTTTTTTTAAGTGCCTCAATTTTAACAAAACTATTTAATTAACTAGGAGACCATAAATGGATCAGCACACAATTTTAAGTTTGTTAAAGCACTGAAGTTACACATACTAAAATATCACGAATAAAATCTTTGTAGAAATCCTGTTCTATGCTTCCAAAGCTGCGCAATTTGCGAAAAGAGCGCCTTAAGATTACTCTGTGATTAAATTTACACTAAAACATTTCCAGGAAGACGGTTCTGCTGACTACGTGGATTATCTGGAAACGTGGCAGGGAATGGAGGACGCTAAAGCACAGGGTCTGGTGAAGTCCATCGGCGTCTCCAACTTCAACATCGACCAGCTGCAGAGACTGATTGCCGACAGCCGCACCAGACCTGTTGTTAATGAAGTCGAGGTGAGCAAGGAATAGTATTTGTATTTTACCTTTTTTTTGTGGTAAGAAACCGATATCTTACGAACATTATATTCTTACTAGCAGTTCCCGTGCGGCTTCATCCGCATGAAATTATGAAAACTTTATTTAATTGTTAACATTTGTCAAATTATCAATAGCAAATGTCAAAATGATATGACAAACCATTGAAATCTTGCTTCCCTGATGTTGGCAGCAACTTATGGCCTCTTTCCCACATTAGGGTTTTTATCCAAAATATTTACCCCCTAAGTTTATTGGCGTGAAAATATGTAGCCTAAAGCGTGACGTAAGTGTAGGGCTGTTTATTAAAAAAAGAATTATTCAAAAATATGCTGTAATTGCTGACATCTTAGGTAACAAAGAAGTGTGTGTTTACGCTTTATTATAATAGTAAGTATAGTTAAGTATTACAAAAAAGCATGTTGCTCTAATAACTCGATGTCCACGAATATACAACGGGTTTAGAGGTGTAGTCTGATGAACGAACGGAAGTTTTGAATATGTAAGCATTCTTACATACTGTAGATAATAAATATGCAGTGCCAGATGTTTATATGTTAACAAACTGCTCTTATTTATTACATAATCTGCATACAACAAAGCAAGTAGTTGAATAAAACATAGTTTTGTAACACCAGGAAGTATGAGTCATTTAACATAATCGATGCATACAGTAACAAGAATGCATTTAGTTCTCATCTTGTTTCTCTAAAATTAATGTCAAACTTAATTTTCTGCAAAGTTCAAAAATAATAATCTGAGAAAAATGATTTTTTACAGAATTTTGGATTTCTCTAGTAACAAGGAAAATAAATAGTATATAGACGAATTGAGTAACTCCTCTTTTGGGAAGTTGGTTAATAAATGCAATTAAAATGCTTTTGAACGATCGTTTAACGTGAAATTTTTATATTGTATGTGATTATGACATCAGTTATTAAAGTTGGCACGTCAAAATTAAGAGTCCTTTAGTATTTGAAGTGCCAAGTTAATTGCCTAAACATTTTTTTTTTCAGACCAGTCCGACTTTCACGCAAGAATCGATGGTGGCATTCTGCAGACAGAATGGTATAGTCGTCATGGGATACAGCCCCTTCGGTTTCTTCGTGGGCAGGGACAGTAGTATGAATATTGATAAATCAGCACTTCTACAAATTGCCGAGAAATACGGAAAATCATTCGGTCAAGTCATCCTGAGATATTTGGTAAGATTTTTATTGAATACTAGCTTTAGCCTGCGACTCCGCCCGTGTGGAATTAACAAAAACAAATCTGTGGAGCCTATGTTTTCTTCCAGACTATCCTCTACATCTATACCAAATTTCATTGAAATCTGTTCAGCCGTTTAGGCTAGAAACTCTAACAAACATCCATCCATCTAAACTTTCGCATTTATAATATTAGTATGATTTGTCTTTAAATAAATTACAAATTCAGATATTTCAAAGAGAGTGAGACGACTATATGTCTCTCATTTCTTGTCTCTTACAAATTACAAGCTGCCAAAAGCTTTGAATAGTTTTTTTATTTCACTTGTTATATGTCTAATTCACTTTTTTCAGATCGAACGCGGCGTAGTTCCGATACCAAAGTCAACGAACCCAAAGAGAATAGCACAGAACATTGATTTGTTCGATTTCAGTTTAACAGAAGAAGAGGTGGCTGTAATCAGCGGATACAACACCAACAAGAGGGTCATTCACCCAGTTGACTGGAAAGACTATCCTTTCTATCCTTTTGGACAGGAATAATCTAGAAATTTAAGTTTAATAAAGTATAGTTATTTAGCCGTGTTTTTTCTTATCTCTCTGTAGGTATCCAATTTGAAGGATAAACTGCTAAATGGATCTCGATGCATAAATGTAAAGAATATTCTGGAAGAACAAATAGGTTGTTTACTTTTGTTTTTATAATTCTACATGGATAGAATCGCGGGAAAGCTAATATTAAAAAAAGGTCTTTGATGACAAATTAAATATGACAAAATAAAAACAAAATACTATCTTATTATATTTATTTAGATTATAAGCTTTTAATAGCAGTTATGTCACATTATAACTATGGGTAGGGAATAATATTGATGTATTTGTCTTTGTTTTGTCAAAGGGAATGTAAGGGATGACAATATTTGTTAATATCATTGAAACTGAAACCCGGAGTTAAAAACAGTTAAAAGCATTTTATAGACATTCCATTTTATTATTATTCTTAATTATCTTACATATATTACTATTTTGCATAAATTTAATAATCTTACGACGAAATTATTTCAACACGAATTTGAAATGTTTTTAAACTTTTTTTTTCTTCTTAAAGATTAAATTTATTATTGTCTATATTGTGCATGGTACGTTTTTACAAATTTTTGTAGTTATAGAAGTTTTTTAAATCCATTGTTGATTGATGATTATCTAATTTGACATACTTATGTACAAAAATCGTAAAATCTGAATATGAAATATTAACCACTTTAGCACAAAGTTCTTATAAAAATTATGATTAACAATATTTTTATACTATTTTCCTTCTAGCCTTAATAATAATACTAGCCTAGCCTAATCAATAGCCAATTGCCTGAAAGAGCCGTCTATACCGAATAGTTCATCGTAGTTTGTCGGCTTGCCTGGTCTGAGAGATTCATTGGCCTTCACCGAGTCCTGAGCTTTGAACCATTCACGGTATTCTATTAGTTTCTGTGTCCATTGATCTGAAAAAAAAAAATACTCAGTTTGAAGATTGTATTTTCAAAAGTTTCACAATCAAAACATGTATAAAAAGTCAAGCGGTGTTTGTCATAATAGCGAAGCAACCGCTACCCATAGACATCCAGATTTGCAGATGAGTTGCCTACCTTCAATCAACAAAAAGAGGAAGAGGAAGAGGAGGAAAAAGGAAGAGGAGGCTGTATACGGAATTGCTTCTAATTGTTTCATGTCTTCTGTGTGGTCGTGGTATTGTGGGGGACGGCATATTTACGCGACAGCTTTTGCAGGCTCTACCAATATTGTATGAGTTATTGACAGTGGAAATATATGGATGTGAGATTCGATTTTACCTTGTAGCTCATCCATAGTGCCGCACTGGCCACCATATTCTTCAGGCAACATCTCTTGAGGTACGTATTTATATAAATCCTTCAGCTCTTTGTGAATGAAGATCTGTGAATTATTTCATACTAATATTATTAATGTGAAAGTTTAAATAGATGGCTGTTTGATAGAGTTTGTCGACTAAACGAAAGAATGGATGTCGATGAAATTTGCAGAGCATAGTCTTGTTGAACACAGGTTACTCAGTTTTGTTTTTATTAGTACGACGCGGATGGAGTCGCGGGCGAATGTAAGATATGTTATTTATAAGAAAATGACACAGAGGTTAAATAATAGACTTCTTTTAGATGACATTTTTCAGAATTTTGACGATATGTTTTACTGGATTTAGAAATTGTCCGAGTTCTAGCTTTTAGACTAGCGAACTTGTTGTAATGTTGACTTACCCTCTTCCTGATCTTTTCCTTCAGGAATGGCTTCACAAAGGTGATAAACCTTTCAACTATAGGTGAAGTATTTATAATGTGCACTTCCTTCAATTTCACTGGATACGCCTCCTGAAAATAAGCAACAAAATATTTAACAATTGCATTTACATTTTTTGAGATATAATTTGGTTTTTAAAATACATGAAATTGAAGGTTGGGTGAAATTAGAACCTTATACCCAAGGAACAAGGTTACAATTCACTAAAATTATTTGCATTTTTATATATCAATTGCATGTTACCTGTACGCAAATCATAAACTTCTTAATAACAGTGGGCGAGAGTCGCGCGAGCAGGCTGGGGCCGAGCACCGCCGCGTCCAGCACGTAGATATCTCCAGCCACGCCCTGTACCTCCTCCACGAGTCGTACATCTCCCACCATAAGCGCCAGCTTCAGGGTGTCCGTGATCTGCTGACCGTCCAGGCTTGGGTGGACACCTGGTCAATAAACGTACAGAGCTAGCGTTAAGGATAACTCAATCGATTAGGATCTTCTTTCCTATATAGCCAAACGTTAGTCTCCTTTCAGTTCTGATAAATTCTGATAGTTCGACTTTTAAGTTAAAACTTCTGTAGTCATCATTAACTTGCCCTTACGCAGGGTCGGCACAGTCTGTGCTGCTCTTCCACACATTTCTATCAGCCGTCATATCTGAATCCACTCCTTTCTTAAGCATATCCTCTTTCACACAATCCATCCATGCTCTCTTCAGTTTTCCTCTACCTTTGTAGCCATCCACATTCAATCTTAACTTCTGTTAAACTTCTGTAGTGACATTAAGAACTAAAATACCTATTTTCAGTTAAGAACGTCCCTATAGATTTTTTCTGCTTAAAATTATCTATACAAATTATTTTGAATCAGACATATGTATTTGTAAGTATACTATTTTGTACCTCTAGTGATGTACCATATCACGAATAAGGAAGAACTACACGCGTTTGATTTAATCTTTATGTTAATTCAGAACGCGAATTGCATTTTAATTTGAATACTTAGAAATAACTAAAACAAAGAGAACATATAACATTACTATACTCAATTGTTATGTTGAACTGAATAAATACAACATTTAACAAAGTTTTGGTACTAAATAAATGTATTATATCTATTGTAAGATAATAGTTATCTATACAATTGTCAGGTACATTTATTATTTCATGACAGTAAAGTGGTCCACCGTAATGTACTGATATTTAATGCATTGATGGGTTTCCATTGCTCAACCCTGTTTATCGTTATTTCGTTTTTTTCATGGTGAATGTAATAGATAACAATATGTTTTGTAAATCTGTTTTAGCAGTGGAACACGAATGTTACGTTCTCGAAGTGCTGAGAATGTTTTGGTTGCAAAATATTGTTTTACCTCTACATATGGTGACTCGTCTGCCATTCGGAGTTACTCCTGGTAGAGGTGGTCCTTGCCTAAAAATAATCATTAATAAAAGTATATTGATAGTAAACTTCTAGGATACAGAAGGGAAGAGTACAAATGGAATAGTTACAGAATTTTATAACAAATTTAATAAACATTACACACCCTCGAAAAACATCACCTTCAATTGGATGGATATAATCGGACAAAAAAACCACTTCTCTCTAGTCCATATGCAAAAACATCATCATGTCTAGTGATTGTTTACACAATCAGTTATTGCTGTCCTATTACGCAGCCGGACGATCACGACATAATGACCTTGAGATGGCCAAGGCTAATCTTACCTCAACCTACTTGGGAAACACAACTTAAATGCTAAAGTAATTATTGCTAAATTCGCTTGACTCTATTATAGTCAATATACTCCAGTCAGTGTGATTCGTAAATGTCGATGTCTTTGTTTACTTTGTAATATAAAAACTACTTTTAAAATTGTATATTTACTTTAACAAACTACCAATTAAGCGATTCATTTTGCTTATTACCAGGTGTGTCTCGGTATATCAAAAATCGCCATATTTCAAAATCTGTCCGTGACACCTACCGTGATAGAGAAATCTGAGGATAGAACCCAGGATATTATATAGGATGTCCGGAAAAGACGTGTACAAACATTCCAAGGAATGTGGTCTTCTGGTGTCCACGTCTTTTTTGGACACCCTGTAATCTCTCTACATACTCGTAATACTTACAGTTTTCCCTTCAAGATCTCTCTAAGCTCAGGACTGGTGGCATCTCGGTTGGAAAAGAACTCAGGACAGGCGGCGCGCATCGTGAAGTACATGTCCAGCTTGCGTTTGCATTTCTCCAACGAGAAACTGCTGCCGCGTAGGAACGTTAGTAGCGGCATATCCTCTGTCATAGAAACATAGAATATAAATGATGGCTTAACTGCATTCGTTGGTCTAATTATATTATTGAAATACCCAATTGGTTATACTGTCCCATAGAAGTCAAGAACCTTGGATCATGGTCAGTCCGTTTTGCAAGACATCTACCTTGGTTACTTGGAATTTTTGTCTAAATAGTAATAGAAATAGAGTAATTCTTTAATTAAGTTTGTCTTGGTTCGTATTACCATCAACATTTTATTACCAAAACGGCTGTAGGTGCTGTGACGTTGAAGTAAAAATTGGTAAGAAACGTTTCACTTACCCCAGTCATCAGGTAAATGCGGTTGCTTCCTGAGCCATTCTTTAATCGCCGCCAAATCCTTATAGCGAGTGTTGACGTCTTCTTTTAATTCTTCTCGAATCTTCTTTGATATTTCCCCCGAGGGCTGGACTAAGAGGTCGGTCTTTAACTTCATGTTGTACTGTGAATTACGAAATATTAAATTGTAATTTAAAATGACTTCTATCCCTATAGACATTTCATATATCGAAGTAATTTTTATTTGGTATTTTAGAAACAATAGCTTAGGCTTTTAAGACAGTACCTCTATTGACTTATTTAGTTTAGTTTTTGTTTGTCACCGATCATCTGTGAACTCTGTCAGTTTATAATGTTACTAGGTATATTTAAGTTTCATACAGTTTTAGACCACGTTTATCTAATTATGATGGTTTTGGTATGTGTTAATTTTATTGCTTTTCTGACCTCTACACTATCTATATAGAGAAAATGTTTCGTAGCTTGTAATTAAGCAGTGTACATACGCACTCTGATAGAAATTGTGTAACAATAAATTGGGATGTACAATGTCAAAGATGTAAAAACCCTGTGCTAATTATAATGCTTCGCATTAGGATTGTGGGTTCGAGTTCTAAAGCAAATTATTACTTTTAATTATTGTAGTAAAATCTGAATAACTTTAAATAAAAGTAATCTTGTAGTGTGCAGTTCAGTTTTGTAGTTTACTGTCTTCGAAAATGTCATAGGGATGGATGATATTAGATTAATGTTTTTTTACGGAATTTCATACATAATTAGGATAATACGTTTGAGTTAAAACAAAGGTAAAATGGTACAAATAAATTTTAATTGTTCATAGATTAGGGATTAAAGATACTGTTATATTCTAGCAAGTTCTAGGTTATGTAACTGTGAGTATTATTTAGTAATAACAGATTATGTAATTTCTAGTCATTTCCAGTGAAATGTCTATAATACCTGCTTATTATTTTGTAATTCTCAACTGTCATCAGATCTAAATACCTACAAGTACAGATAATATAAAGTTAGTGTTCACGTCTATTATTTAAAAGAGAAACGTCATTGACGATATCATGGCCATAAATAAGAGAAAACAATCTATGTCTATGTATACATCGGTTTAAAACTTTCTACTTTTATTGTTACCAATGGTCATCTGTAGTTCGAAATTCGACCATTAATTAATCGACCTTTGATAACGTTCTTTTGTCAATAACCAAAACTTGATGAATAAAGTTTTGTATTCAAAATATTGCTTTATGCAGTTTTAATTAAACATATAAGTTTATCGTGCCTTTAATCGACTTTAAAGATGGTGAAAGAGATCAAATTATATAAAGTGGTTCTCACAATGTGTGTCAATTTAAATTACCGAGATCGACTTGTGAGAGGATTTCGACCTACATTACGAAGAGAAAACAGATTTACTAATACTTTTAATGTAGATGTTATTAAAATTTATTTCCTACTAAAAGATGCGTTTTGCTGCATTTCGACAAGAGACAGAAGATGCAACTTTAAGAGGAAAGAAAGAGATAACAGTAAATATTCAAATGTCTACTATATTTAAAAATGCGTGTTACTAATACAGTTGATGGGAGGATGTTTGTTAGAGTTTCTGCCTAAACGACTAAACGAATCTCCATGAAATTTTGCATATATGTAGTAGATATTTTGGAAGAATAGATAGGTTACTAACTTTTGTCTTTTTTTAATTCCACGTGTACGTAGTCACGGGCAAAAGCTAGTTATTAACATATACCCCTATATCTCTGTATTTCTTTGTTTTAATACATTAGGTTTTTGTATAGTTGCAAGTTCAAGACGAATACGTGCAGTAACGGGCTAGAGGTGAACGCCCTCTAGCGTAAAGGTCTAGAGCAATGCAACGGCATTCATTGAATCAGTAACACTTATCTTAGATGCAGTTAACCGTGGGTTTACACTGCGGTAAGAACATCTTGCATCTCTGTTTTTTTGAGACAGAATAAGAAGGGTAACGATATCTATTATACAATGTGTTTGGACAGTTGAAACTCACAATTAGAAAAAGCAGAGCGTAAATTGATTGACAATTGGTATATAATAATTTAAAAAAAGAATTACTGTATGAATACTAAACAATTGATAATCTTACTTTTTAAGTTAAGCTTTCTTAAAAGCTGGTAAGGCTATGGAGGTCATATTGCATAGCCTTACATACTTATATAGACAAGAAACATCTGTCGTGATAAATACAATTATTTTAAAAATAATATAGTAGCTTATAAAGTAAATATGTAAATTGGTTTAAAAAATCTTCGAGAACAAAGCTCCGGTTTATGTTCTTTTTTATATTTGAAGTGAAAGTAATTTTTTATTAAGTGAAAATAGACAGTCTGTGAACTAAAAAACTTTAGACACAATAGTAACTGTGAAATTCTAGTTCATAGAAGTATTGCTTTTATTTTATATATGATGTTTCTTTCTGTTTTGTCTGCATATTCTTTATCTTCTGAGAGTCGTAGAATTTATTGGCAAATAACCTAACTACATTAATAATTGTATTATGTATTGCAAAAATTCAAATTTGATTGGTACTTTATGAGTCACACTTTTCAACGCCAACAGCGGTTGCAGGTTCGAATCCCGAAATTTACATTAACAGATAAAATAAATCTCAAGGGCTTGTCAATTACTATTAGGATAACAATCGGACGTGAAAAATATATGATGGAAATGTCGGGTGTTGTTATCTGACAGTGACGGCATAAGCTACCTGGGCCTCTATCAGCCAGTTGTGGGACAGGCCCTTAATGTTTCATTGAAAAAAAAAATCAAATTTAATTAAATGTATTAATAGATTCGACGTTGAAGATCTAAAAACGTCACAGTATGTGAAATATGTATATTAGTTTAACCTATTATCTTTGCTACGTGTGAAAACTTTAAATACATTGTGTTATTGCTATGAATCGTTATTCACACTTAGATGTGATATAGAGATACAAGATATAGTGTAAACGTTATTTGTATTGTTTTACTAAAAGTTTATAAAAATCGCTGTAAAACAAAATACAAGAGGCCTTTTAAGAAAATTGTTATGAAAAAATATTTAATATGCAATCATATTTAATATTAAAAGTTAAAGTCTTGTTTACAAAAATAAACTAATTGTTTTTCTTCGGCTCCTTAAAGACTTCCTATTTTTTTAAGTACGTGGATGACCTTATATGCATAAATGTCTACAAATGAACTTTTATATTCAAACCTCAATACACGGATATAACGAAGGAACAAAGAACTTTCACTTTCAATAAACATTTTACGAACATAACGAGGTTAAGATGAATTTAACTTACAAGTATACTATAAACAAATATATTTTTAACGTGAATTTATAATTATTGCAATTCAAAAGCTTACATAAATAAAGATATTAAAAAAACTTACGAATTACAGTCTAATTTCGTTCAATAGAACACTACAATCAGTTACAAAATAAGTAACTACGAAATGAGGGTAGGTTGAAATATCGATAGTCACTTTGTCTTTTAGTTTCACAACATCATCTAAAAATATTCCCACATACGGGATGGTGTAATCACCAAGCAGGTTCTTAAGCAATACCCGAAATCTTACAAAGACATACTCAATTAAAGCTTCATGTTTCGTCATGGCAAACAAAACACCATTAACTTTATATTTAAAACTATAAAAACAATTGAATTGGCGATGGTTTTAATTTTTAATATCCTTTCTAATTTTGAAATCGATTCCAATATTAAAATAAAATAAAAATATTTTTTAAATCAGAAAAATAAACTTACCTTTTTCTTTTCGTGGCACTGGCACAAATTAAAAAGTTTTTATTAAGTAACAACTTTCGTCAGTCGAAGAAGTGACGTCCGCAAAGCACCAACAACAGACTGTTACTGACCCACTCTTGCTGTGCGGTTGGGAAATGTTGCACTTCGGAGTTAACCTGATGCCCCGCTTGAACGTCTGATCTACTTGTACAAGTACTTGATCAAGTAAATAATTACATTGTATGTTTTTTTTGTAATAAAAATAATGATTTTAATTATGAACGTTCAGTTTTTAACTAAATTATAGTTAGTTTTAGTTACTATCGAATTTACTATTGAGAATATCGCAGCAAAAAAATTGTCCCTAACTTGTAAATAATAAATTCTTACATAATCAGTTTAATTAACCAATTTAAAGAAAATATTTTATTTTAGTTACTGAATTTTTACTACTATACATATAAGGAAAGTAAATTCTTTTTTTATTCATTTCTAATCCTAGCGTCTCAACGCTCCTTAGACATATAACTAAAGGCATCAATACTTTGCTTTTACAAAACACTTAATGATTTCAATAATCCGGAATTAATAATTTTATTTTTATATAATACATTTGTTTTTATTTTTATACAAATCTTGTAAAACCTATTATATAGGGAATAAGAAATAAAGATATATGGAAAAATGTCAATATGTGGAAACATTATTCGCCACTTCCTTACTAAAATTAGTTTTATGAGCCGATCGATTTTATATAATTAAGCATCGGTTACTTTTGCTTTTGAATAATACTTTCGTTTCCGTACAAAGCGTTCACTCTTTTTGACCTCTTAAGTTACATATAAATAAATATTAAAACACTTTTCATTGATCGGATTCTCGTAACATCTGTAAATAAGATATTGTGACATGTTTCGGCAGTTATATCGTTCTAAGGAAAAAGGTTTTACTACATAACTTTTGTCAGGTGACGGAGTGATTTCCGCAACGGAATAAAAACAAGAATTCAAGTAACAAAGGGTCTTAATAAATTGCAAAACTACTACTTTAGTGTGAGCTTTGAGTATTTTGTAACAGAATAGATTCAGATTAAGGTTTAGCAAAATAAAAATCCTACCGTACTTGTTATCTACTGTTAGTAAGAAGTAATCTATTAGAAATCTAATGTTTTAGATAAAATGATACGTGTTTTATTTCATTATTTTGATACACGTTTTAAAGTAAGACGAGCGTGTCATATCAGTTGTAATTGATACAATCAAGGCCAACGGAACAATAATTATTGTCTTTCTTTGCAGAGTAAGATTTAAGATAAGAAAAATGAGATATATGAAGATTTTGATTTACTTGAGATGTTGTTTGTCACAAATTGTATTGTGTTATATGAAAAGCTAAAATCATAAATTAAAAAATAACATATAAATTCAATATCATCATTACAGAAACTGCCCCTCTATTAAATTTTTAAATAATGAAACAATTAAAACAAAGAAAATTTAATATTGATTTATTTATTTAAAATTCTATTATAATTATGGTTAAATAGTTTTTGAAGTATTTTTTTGTTATCAAGATCAATTATTCCAGTATGGGTGCAGTTACGCCTCGTGAAAATTAATAGCAAAAATTTTTAGTATTTAAAAAACCGCAATCAAAATTCTTATACACCATCGTATATTTGCCGTTCCATAAACCGCAGGCGTTATAATACTTTCTGTTTAATACCACGAAAGCCTACTTAATTTACTCCACATTGAGTATTTTAAGTATACCACCAAACTATGTTATTTTTAAATTAATCTGATACATACAAAAAGTAATCATACAACTTTGTAAAAAGAACCACTTAACAAATTGAGCATGTGTAAATGTAGAAGTAACGTGTTATTCAGTCTAAGTTAAAATGTAATTAATTATTTATTGGTTATAAAACATAATGTTATCTCTTAAAAGGCACTAATTATGTGTTAATTAAAAACATCGTTTTAATCAATTGAAAGTTGACGGAAGGAGCCGTCTATTCCGAATAACTCATCGTAATTTGTGGGTTTGCCTGGTCTGAGAGATTCATTAGCTTTGATACATTCTTGTTGTTTAAACCATTCGGTGTAGTCTTCTAGTTTCTTCATCCAGGCATCTGAAAAGCACACAGTAGTCTGTTAATACGGTATGTTAATAAAACTTCGATTTCCATTGATTGTTACATGTAACTGTGATAATTTTTAAGTGCAATAAAGACAGCAACGAACACGTACCCAAATGTTTTAATTTCGTTAATACGATTTCGTGCATTTCCTACTAGATTTTAATTGCTATTTTGAACGTTGTAAAGAATAGAAAGTTACCATTGATCTCTTTAAGTGGTCCGCAATGCCCTCCATACTCAGTAGGGAGCAAATCTTGCGGCACGTACTCGTATAGTGTGTTCAAATCCGAGTGGATGAATATCTAGAAAAACGAATTTTATAGACAAATAAGAATTGTTTTCTATGTCGTTGTCGAAACACATTTCCATTGTTTATACTAAAATGAAATTCTCGTTTCAACTATGTTAACTAATATTGCATTGTAAATGTTTACCCTGTTTTTAATTTTCTCCTTAAGGAAAGGTTTGATGATGGTGACCAGTTTGTCGACAATCGGAGACGCGTTCACCACGTGCACTTCTTTTAACTTGACAGGATACGCCTCCTACAAAAGAGTAACATAACATCTAGTAAATATTAACTTATTTTTTTGGTTAGGTTAGTTGCTTAACACTATGGAAATAAGGTAAAACACTGGTTTTTATACAAATATTCATATCCAACATAATAAAATTAATAATATAACCTATTGATCCGTTTTAACAAAATGAATATTACTAATTTGGCATGTCTCTTCACGATGGTGGAACATTATGTATCTACCCACATCTGAATTAGCACGTTACCTGAACACATATGAGAAATTTCTTAATCAGTGCAGGCGACAGTTTGCCAAGGTGCCTTGGAGCGAGCACGGCGGCGTCCAGCACGTACACGTCACCTCCCACACCCTGGACCTCCTCCCGCAGTCTGACGTCACCGATCATCAAACCCAACTTGAATAGGTCGCACAGTTCACTCGTGTCTAGGTTCTTGTCAACGCCTGAATAGAACCATATTTATAATAACTAATATTATAAAGAGGAATGATTTGGACATTTATATGTATTGAAATAACTTATAAACTACTGGGCAGATTTCAATAAATCTTTTACTATTAAAAAGCTTTGCTATCAGTGAGTAACATAGGCTATATTTTAACTCAACGTATACAATTTTAGGTAGGTAAAATATACCTCTAGCGACGCTGACACGACGGCCATTCGGTGTCAAACCTGGTAGGGGTGTTGCGTACCTGGAAATATTGTAAAGTTAATAAAAACATACAGGAATTACATATACTATTAAAGATTTGCTAGTATTTTAAAGATTGCTAGATACAAGGAATGCAGGCATAATAAACTTAAAAAGATTAGCCATTTAGGACTAGAAAAATAATATTACACTAATACTTTTAATATTGTACCCCCTAATATACATCTCTAGAATTAATAATTTTCAACTATTAGCCCCAATTTCCACTGAGAGCTCTAGCTATGATTTTAATCTCATACTTACAGTCTATTCATTAAATTATTAAGTTCCGGTCTGGTGATGTCTCTGTCGGTGAAGAACTCGGGGCAAGCGGTGCGCATCGTGAAATACATGTCCAGCTTGCGTTTGCACTTCTCCAGAGAGAAGCTGCAGCCGCGCAAGAACGTCATCATCCTGTCATCATCTGGAATGATCATGAAGTAATTTGTTACTATGGGTTTCGTTTTCGTTTCAGTTACTCTTTTCTTAATATACTAGCTATTACAGGGCGGCTTGTCCACATGAAATTATAAAAACTTTATTTTCTTGTTTCCATTTGTCCAATTTTCTATTGCAAATGTTAAAATTATCGTTACCACAATTACCTTGCTTCCTTAATGTTGGCAGCTTGTAATTTATGGTACCTTTCCCACATGAAGGCTTTTTACAATTTATTTACGCCTTACCATTTACGCCGCCTAAGTTTAATAGCGTGATAATACATAGTCTAAAGCGTGTCGTAGGCTTTTTATTAAAGCAAAGATTATTCAAAAATATGCTGTGATTGCTAACATCCTACGCCACAAAGCAGTATGTGTTTAAGCTTTATTATATTAGTATAGATAGAATAAAGCATAAACACATATCTCTATTTTATTAAAGAGAAAGGAAGGGATAGCAATAAGTATAAATTTGGTGTCCTTAATACTACAAATTATTTAAAAAGAAAAGAAAAACACTGCCCTTGCACAGACAGGATTGACAGACATTTTTTAGTATTCAGTGAGTTCAGCAACAGATTATTTGTTTTTACATGAAAAATAAAACATCGTAGAGCTGTTGTCAAACACAGAACAAAGTGAATAAAATTGCTAGATCTATCGTGGGTCCACAAAGGGGTGTAAAGATAGAAGAATGAATAGTCTTACCCCATTCATCAGGTAGATGTGGCTGCTTACGTAGCCACTCTTTAATCGCTGCGAGATCCTGGTCACGTGTGTTCACGTCCTCATTCAGTTCGACTCTGATCTTCTTCCATAATTCCCCAGTGGGCTGGACTAAAGTCGCTGATGCCATTCTATAGCAAAGAACATGGAAGTGCTATAGACATTGTGTATGTTGCAGCATTTTAAAAATTAATTTAACTCCTTTGGGCAAAGAATTTTAGTTAAAAAATGTATAATTGTAATTGATTTGAAAATTTTAACGTATATACTAAGATTTAGAGTGTAGATTATAGATTATAGAGTGCTTTGGAGGACGAAAACCCGGTGCGCCGACACTACGGGGGTAGGATAAGGCAGGGGAGAATATGTTACATATTTACTAAATTAGTTAGTCATAAATTTTGCCTTATAATTTAAATTCACACTGGATACATATAGTTTAATTAAATAAACTGAATAAAACAAAGTTTCTTGAAATCCTTTAACTATATTTATCAACTGAAAAATCTGTTATATTTGAGAGAACAAAAGACTTCAACGACTGTGATAAAAATAACACGTGAGTCGTTATTTATACCCACTACAACTAAAAAGAGATGTATTTAAACAACGTTTGACTTAAACCCTTTGAAGGAAATAACAAGTTATATTTCATTAACATTAGTTAAATTCGTTTGTTAAACTGATGTAGGTTCTTATTTTTCTAATTAGAACTTCAGCTCCTCATAACCTCATTAGACAGACATCGCACACTTTTTGTAATTTCGGTAGATATACGATTTCAAATTCTTTCGCCGTTGAAAAACAGCGTTGTTGTGAGTAAAATAGTATAAGTTTCTATATTATTTTTCATATGCTATAAACTAAGCGACCAGTGGTTACACATAAATCCTGTGGGTTTCTGTACCACTTATAACGTCTCTTATTGTACTTTTAAATTTATGCTTTTGTCTAATAAATATGAAAAAAAGGTTATTTACAACGAAAATTTTAAGGTTTAAATTGAAAACTGTTAGAGGTCATTGCCCTCGCACGGTTGACAAACAATCGTTCTTAAAACATAGTTTAAAGTTATCTTCGGCTAGAATTTAACGATAAATAGGTCTTAAGACTATAAGTTTTATTCTTATATTATATTATTTTATTATTTAATTGTTTTACTAGAGTAAATATGTAAATAAGATATCCTAGTCAGTTACTAAGCAAACTCTCAGTTTGCATTATTACCTAAATAGACAAATATTTGACGTAGAAATATTCTAAACATAAAACATTGCTTAGGCTTACCTTTACTAACCAAATAAGCCTTCGCAATCACAAAAAACAGTCGACGAACCTCAATGGTTGTACAAATAGGAAGACTGACCTTGGGGTCACAATGACTTGACGTAGGAAGACCATAACTATCTACATTATGCTTTAAAACAATACACAAGCGTGAGGCGGGAAATAGAGATATACATACATGTGGATGTAAGTATAGACAAAAAGTACCACCAAGGAAATCCGCGGTGTTGTACTTTTAGAAAATTTGCCTCAATTCTCCCAAGGATACAAGCTCCACCTCTTATAACAAGTAACTAAATAATGTAGCGCCAATAGCCTAATGGTTTGGGGTACAGACTACAGATCTTGAGGTCGAGGGTTCTAATCCTGCAATTCGACTATTGTGAACCTATCCTAGCACAAGCCTCTAGCTTAGTTAGAATGACTAAAGAAAATATCAGTAAATTAACAAAAATCTACTAACACTTTTATACAAAAAAATTATTAACGAGTAGCGTAAACGATGTAATATTAATACCATTATTTTTGTACATACATATTTAAAAGCTTCATATCAGTTTTTGTTCAAAATATTGTAGCCTTACTACCACTGCCAGATTACCCGATTGTACTTTTGTTAACTTTGTTCTTGTGTAGACCAGAGATAATTGCGTTTTTAACGCAATTACTTCTGCCATCTATCATCATTAATTTTCATTTAAGAATGATCACCGAGTATATTAGTTGTTGTCGACGCGTGATTTTGACGTACACAATTGTAGCCGTTTATGTTCATTCATTCTTACACACCTTCGTAATCGAAAGGAATAAGCAGAGGTTACGAGGTTACTGTAACAATAATATGTACAACAAAAGCGTTGACTATCACAGGTAGATACAATTATGATTAACATTTTTATCTTCCATTTTCTCTTCCGATCATTTTCATACTAAAATAAAGGAAAAAAGGACTAGAAAATGTATTTTTTAAAAACACCTTTTCGCTATGATCGATTTTGTATAGTTATAAAAATTTACAGTCTTAAAAAATCAATGTTGTTAATTTTTTTAGGGTAGCCTAAAATAAAATGTTCTTAATTAAAGTTTTTTTTTTGGTAAAATTTAAACATTCATTATAATTTGATCGTATATAGCTTAGTATATGAGAAAAATCTTGGGTTTTTAATTCGAAGTATTAACAGCGATTAGGCTGTCAACGTTAATTCCTATAATCGAAGGGAAAAACTCGTCGTTCAGGAACTAGGCGATATTGAGTAACTCCACTTTTACTTTATCTATTACGAAACTAGAATAATTGTGTAAGCAACAAAAAAACATAAGGAAAACTCACCTGAAATATCAACACAGATAACAGGGATATAATTATTAATTTAAATAATTAATAATGCACGTAATATTTTTCTTAAAGTTGAAAGCATGCGCTTCCTTCGAGGACTCAAATCGTACTAAAGTCTGACAAGCGTCTTAAGCAATAGTCTAGTTGACTGTACCTTGAATTGGGTTACAACATTGCTTCTATTAAGACATTTGTAATGCAGTGTACAGCATTTAGCAGATCATTTTTATTTGAATTATCTACTACCACAAGTAAATAAAAAAGTCCACTCCCGAATGTAGGTACCTACATATTTTTTGGTTCACTTTATATAGTAAATTTAGTTTCGTATACAATTAAATAATAATTAAATATTCGATTTTCCTTACTAGTAATATACATTTACCGTAATATGCATATTTTACGTATATTTCTTCAATAAATTAACAGTTTTTCATTTTTTGTTCTATTTTGTTTCAGAATTAGTCAACATTGGTCGGTATTGCATTGCTCTTGCTGTCGTTTCTTCGCTCTGATTGTTACATTTCGTTGGTAATTCGGTTACGTTGCGTGTCCAATTCCAACAAGCGTACTGGTCGATTTTTTAACCTTATTATAGTTTATATAACCCGAAAATATTGTCTTTCTAAGTGACACTTTATGATACAGTTAAACTGCTATAAATCTATGTAGATGTAAATGATTGACCATCATCATCTCCCCTGCCTTATCCTACTCTAGGTGGGTCGGCGACCGGATTTACATCCTCCAAATTACTCTATCATCCGTCAACTCAGTCATCACTCCCTTCTTGATCATGTCACCTTTCACGCAATTCATCTATCCCTTTCTAGGTTTACATCTACCGATGTACCCTTCCATATTCATAACTAGATTGATTATATAACACATGTAAATGATTGGTCAATCGTTCCGAATTCAATATGCGATCTCCTACTATTTTACGCTACGTATTGATGTTTATAATCAATTTTGGTTGAAAACCAATTTGACAGCACTCGAAAAACAGGAGCATTTTTAGAGCAGGGTTTCCCAGTTTTTTGAAGTCACGAACTTCTGTTAATTTTTTCATATGACACTAAACTCCATAGGAAACTTAATACAACCTACAATCGTATTAAAAATATGTCTTACACTCTTTGAAAGGTACATCACTGAGGAAAGTACTAATAAATTCCGTAGAAATTTCGTAGAAACTTTCGTAGAAAATTCCGTAGAAACTTCCGTAAATGAAGTCGCAAGTAAAATCAAGTATTAAATAAAGAAATAAAACAAACGAATAAAAAGAAATAACTTTATTTAGAAAATGCTTTAAACAATAACAATACTACACCTTCAATCAACATAATAAGCACATAACTGAGCACACATAACTTTGGTTGACAAAGCATTTGGTATTAACTTACCAAAAATATGGTAAAAAGAAGCGATAGAAAATGCAACCGATTTAAAATGTCATTATTTGTAATGAAATGAGTGTTAATTTGACGACATTCGTATCTGAGATCTTAATTTAATACATTTGACACATCCTACGTAAAGAATTACATCGGTTAAAAATTGTTACGAAATGTAATTGTTTACTTCGTAAGAGCTCTTTGACATCTAATCGATGACAAGTTGACGGAAGGATCCGTCGATACCGAACAGTTCATCGTAGTTGGTCGGCTTGCCAGGTCTGAGAGCTTCGTTTGCTTTGTAACTCTCTTGTGCCGCGAACCAATCTTTGTATTCAGCTAATTTCTTCACCCACGCATCTAAAAGCAATACAATGTATGTAGAAACAAACATAAAACATATGACAATCGCTCCCTAAAATATTGCTCTATGGGTATTTTATAGTTTGAAGGTCAAAGAATTTTAAATAATTCTATTTTTGGTCAGAAATAAAAATAAATCGAAAGTTCGATGTTAAAAATTTCTATGTAGGTAATTCAACATTTGCACAATCTTGCAAAGCAGTTTACGCATACAACGAAATCGGGCCAGTCTTTTTTTATTCAATTTGATGAGTACTCACTGTGTAGTTCGTCCATAGGTCCAGCATTGCCGCCGTATTCAGCGGGCAACATTTCCTTGGGTACGTGTTTGTATAACTCGTTGGTGTCCGAATGAAGGAAGATCTGAAACGAAAATTGTAAGTGAATTTTAGTATAATTTCTTCATAACTTATAAATTTTATTTACAGTATAAAATAGATTTCTTTTCTACGAAACGAGGAATTGTTTCCACTTCTTAATGCTTTTGGGTGGTCGTGGTATTGAGTCGCGAGCCGTTCCATTCGTGCAACAGATGTTGCTGACGTCTACTATCGTTGTTACTTATAAGAACGCATTTTAATAGAATGACTATTAACTTTTTAAATTTTTAATCTGATATGAAATTTTTGTGCTATTAAGGTTTACATTTTGGGTTCTAATTTCTATATGAGATAATATTTACCCTGTCTCTGATCTTTTCCTTAATGAAAGGTTTGACGAAGTTTACAATTTTGTCCACCAGGGGCGACACGTTGATTACGTGGATTTGCTTCAGTTTTACTGGGTAAGCTTCCTGAAAATTAAATAAATAATGTTTAGTTAATTAGAGATATTTCATAATAAAACGAATCGTTACTAATAAATTACTTGCCATTGTTCGCGATTTCGTCCGCGTGACAAAAAATAGCCAATGTTACATAGTGTTAACATAGCTTTTTAATGATGATTTTTTTTTAAATCGGTCCAGTAGTTTTTGAGTCATTCAACTTATACAAAAATCAAAAAATACAAATCTATTCTCTTTACAATATTAGTACAGATATAGACTAAGATAATATCATTGTAAGATCGTTACTATGGTAACAAACCTGTACACAGACGAGGAACTTCTTCACCAGGGTTGGTGTGAACTTAGCGAAGTGAGTTGGCGTGGCGACCGACGCGTCCAGGATGTAGATGTCTCCAGCAACGCCCTCCTTTTCCTCAGCCAGTCTGACGTCACCCAGCATCAGAGCCAGTTTAAACGCATCAGCCACGTTTGGCGTCTGAGCATCTTTGTCGACACCTGTGGTATTATCACATTATTAGAATTTACAATTTGTTTTTGCCTAATGGTGCGAGGGTAATGTTTTAGAAATCTTGTCCCTAAACGTCACAAGAATCAGTCATTATATCATCAAAGTCATATACTACGGTAATTAGAAAATTTTAGGAAGGGAAGTTGACAATTGGGCGGAGTGTGGACGTATGTTCTTTCATACGTCACGTCCGAAGGTTATTATAATTCGGTAACGGATTTGCTATCTTTTTGCTAACGGAGTTGCTGGTCTCTCGTCTGCTTTATTTTATCTAAAATTAATGTAATGGTCATACCTCTCATAAGAATGACTCGTCGACCGTCTGGGGTAAGACCTGGTAGAGGTGGCATTTGTCTGAAAAACAAATGAACATTAATTACGAAATAAATGTTAAATCTATACTTTATTAAAGGCTTTAATCATATTACTAGTCGATTAAATATATCTAGTATCATAAAATATTGAAATTAAACGAAAACGATTAAATCTTACTAATATTATTAATGCGAAAGTTTGGATGGATGTTTGTAGCCTAAACTGCTGAACGGATTTCGATGAAATTTGGCGTAGATATAGATGATAGTTTGGAAGAATACATAGGCTACTTACTTTTGTTTTTTATATATACATTCAGACAGTGTCGGGGGCGAAAGGTAGTATGATATAATAATAATGAATTAGTTGAACACAATAATTTTTTGTTTGTACATCATTGGTTTAAGATGTAATCATCTTTTTTTATTATTCAATAATGTTTATTATTGTCTAGCTTCTTCCTCGTGTATTGTTTTATTGATAATTACATTTTGCAGAATTAATTGTGTTTATGGTTTCTGTTAATGTGTTGTTTAATGGACGTAATTAAAACAAAAAAGGTTTTTAACCATAGATTTTAGAAATAATTCCGGAAAAACACTACAATTGGTAGTTTTATCTTACTTATATTGTAAATGTGAAAGTTTGGATGGATGTTTGTTAGAATTTGTAGCTTAAACTGCTGAAAGGATTTCAATGAAATTTGTCGTAGATATAGAGAACAGTATTGAAGAACACAAAGGCTTTCTATTTTTTTTTTAATTCCACGTGGACGGAGTCGCGGGCGAAAGCTAGTATTACAAAAATGTAATTAACTTCCTAAGGACTAACTACCATTTTTTACTTACACGATATTTAAAATCTCTTGCAACTCCGGGCGCATGACGTCACGGTTATCGAAGAACTCCGGGACAGCTGATCGCATTGTGAAGTACATGTCCAGCTTACGCTTGGCCTTTTCTAATGAGAACTTGCAGCCACGCAGGAAGGTCATGATGCGTTGGTCATCTGTGAACATAGACATAAAATTCATTAGATACTTAGGTATTCATGGTTCTACAGAACATACCTTTGACAATAGGTAATTATAATAATCTATACTTCTATACTAATAAGAGAAAGCGTAAACACACACTATTTCGTGGGGTAGGATGTCCGCAATCACAGGTAATTTTGGCATTTGCAATTGACAAATGTAAATAGTAAAATAAACTTTTTGTAATTTCCTTTGAATGAAGTCGCACGGGAACAGGTTAAGTATAAAAAGTTTTAGTTAATGGAAACATTTATTAAGCTAATTGAACAGAAATCACTACTATACCTTACTAACTTACGCCCGCGACTGCGTCCGCGTGGAATAAAAAAAAACAAAAGTAAGTCCCTACATGTTCTTCCAGGCTATCTTCTAAATCTATACCAAATTTCATCTAAATCCGTCCAACCGTTTAGACTACAAACTCTAACAAACATCCATCCATCTAAACTTTCGCATTTATAATATTAGTATGATGACACAATTGGCAGATGTTTTTTCACTGGAGCTGTAAGCCAGCTTAAATTAAGGGTAATTGCAGAATGGAACTTACCAAACTCATCAGGTAGATGTGGCTCCTTCTTGAGCCACTCCTTGATGTGCTCGAGATCTTGTTCCTTGCCCTCCGGCTTCTCGTTCAGTTCTTCGCGGATCTTCTGCCACATCTCACCTGTCGGCTGTTCTAGAGTCATTTTTGTATCGTTGGTTGGCTCTGGAATGTAAATATTAGGATTGTTAAAATCGTTTACCAAAGACTGATGATTGAAGAAGTAATGGACGGATTATTTAAGTAACAGTGGTAGAGCCCGCTTTAACATCTTAGCACGAATGGGTCGGCTCGCCCGGTGCAATACCACAACCACACAGAAGACAGGCGTGAAGTGGAAGCGAATCCGCGTTTCGAGTGATGAGTGTGGTGCCGGAAGCCCAACTTTAGTCCCTTTCCCGTTCCACCCTTTTCTTATAAGGAAAGGATTGGATGGGAAAGTGGATTTGACGGTGCAAGAGACGCATAGGAAGGCGAAATATCCTCTTTATGTGGGTCTCCTCCTTCGATTTAGGGTAGGCAACGCATCTGCCTTTGCGGATGTCTATGGGCAGCGGTCGCTTCGCCATTTCCTCGCATTTAGGTGGCCGCATGCTCATTTGCCACTTTATAGTATAAAAAAATGTTTAAGTAGATTTACATAAGAACGTGTATTTTAGATATGACGGCTGATAGAGATGTATGGACGAGCTGTGATGTTCCAAATGATATTCAGAGACGTAACAATTGTACTGTTATGCAATGAAATTCTTTCGTAACTATTATAATTCGTGTGTTATTTGTAACAAAAAGTATATGTGTATTTACGGTGCTTGGTTCACGCATGCGTACTAGCGCGCTCGAGCAAAACATTACGTTATTTTATGTTCAACTTTTCTACGATTACGAGTATTATTACGTGTCTTTGAGTTTCCACTGTCGAAAAATATGTCATTCCAGTCATTATGAGCTCTAAATTACAGTTAAAATATGTAAGATTACAAAAAAATTGCCTCTATCGTTATAATGCATTAATTTGGTAGCATATTTTAACATTTTGGCATTACATGGTGTTATAATGTCAATTTAATGGTGGCCACTGATAAAGCGATAAAAACAGATACTTTGAAAAAGTATTTAACGACATTATACACTAATAGCGTTGAGAAACCTTTTAATAAAACCTCTTGAATAAATGTTAACCGTAATTTATGTTATAAATCGTTGTAGAGAACATTTGCCAGATTTACGTGTCGTAACGGTTATCGTGCGGTGAAAAGAAAACCGTTTTATTGCGTTTTCAGCGAGCTTTCACCGCAAATGCCTTTCTAACGTTCGAATCACTGCGCACTGGATGTTAAGAATGGATGTTTTTTTCAACGAAATTATACTAAATACATTAGTTTGGTGAATTTTTTGTTCATCTTGATTTGAGGCAATTTGAAATATGATTTGAACAGAATAGACTGGTGAGTTTTATATGGTTATTTTGGTATATGAAGAAACGGTAAACGGCAAAGTTGTAATATTTAAACTATAATTAGCTATTGCATTGATTACTTTGCTTAACATACGCAAGATACAATTCAAGTTATAAATAACTCGCTTTTGCCCGCCACTCCGTCCGCGTGAAATTTAAAAATAATAATAAAGAAATGAAAAAATGTAGCCTATGTTACTCGCACAAAATTACCTTTCTAACGGTGAAGGAATATTTAAAATCGAACCAATAGTTTTTGAGCCTATTTATTATAATCAAACAAACAAAGTTTTCCTCTTTATAATATTAGTATAGTATATATAATATTATTAATAATAAATAGTTCATTGGTTACTAATACAAAGGGGGCAGACGGCGCCATATCAGGTTTTCTTAAGTTGTATAAAGTTACAGCCACATACCACAGACTGCTTGTTGTGTTACAGCTGAAATTTACACGTGATTGTTAGCCTTGTAGAGCTTTTAATTATTTTAATATTGTAAAGTACTTAATTAAAATGATGACTAAAAAGACAAAATTTATGTGTACAAAAGAAACAGTTCAATACCTAAGCTATCTCCTGAAAATTCTTAAAAATTCCCTACATTCTTAGTTTTGTGGCTTTTTGACCGACTTCCCAAAAGAAGGAGGTACTCCATTCGTTTGTATGTTTTTTTTATGTGTGTTATGAATTATTCTGTACTGATTTTGAGCTTACAAGTTAATCCAAAAGTTTTTTTCTACAAACAGCAAAGTTAAACGTTCAATTCTTTCTTATAAGCATATGTTATAATTACGATAAATATCATTTTCAAAAATAAATAAGCAAAATATAAAATTTTATTATAAAAATCCATCACGAATTCCATCACCTTTCTAAATAATTGCATCCAACTTAACGGTTAGTATACCGCTATGTATTGATATTTAAATTAGAACCTTATTCGTTAATACCTTAGAGGCTATACTTGTATGGATAACACGAACTGCACCGTTTCGGATTTTGTATGGCCTGTGCGGAAGTCACGTTTTGCGGGCGCTTTTATTTCTATCGGGATATCTAATAACTGTCATTTTGTCAGTGACTAAACTGTACAAAATGTATTATATAGAATGCCTCAGTCTTAATCAGACCACAATGACTATAAATGTATAGACAGGACTATTTACGGAAAATACAAATTCCAAGACATAACCTCTTCGTGCACATAGAATCGAACGCGGCATGTATAGAATAAAAAAACAAAAGAGTTCGAAATGGTTATTTATCCTTCTTCTATTTAAAAAAAGTTAAGTCATATTTATTTTACTTAGTTAACAAATGTGAGTTTTGTTAAATGTTTTTAACTCTATATGAAAAGCTTTGTTTACGTTATCTAAATCTGTGACAAGCGTGAGAAAACTGTTTTGTTTTGAACGTAGTAAGATTACAGTATCTTGTTAAATGTATATCATTACAATTTTTGTTAAATGTTGATTTTAAAGATAAAATCTCAGATTTAAAGAGAAAGGCTCGCGTTTCCACATTCACTTTTACGGCACTGTATACCGCGGTTAAGTTATTGACCGATATTTACCCAAAATGTACTCCACGAAATTGTATATTTTGGATCTATACATTCAGTTTTTATGCGCTTCATCTGATGAGTGTGACGGAGGAATGCTCTAGTCACCTTTCCAGGAAATCATTTGATATCTATGTCAGACTGTAGTCGATTTGACCTGTTTACTCTAACATGATTATCTTTTACAACTCCACATAAATAAAAACAACACCTAATGCAATTATAATTGAAAAATATTACCTTCTTAACAATCGAGTAAAAAGATATTTTCGCATATGTTTTTGGTTATGGAAGCCCTCGGTTATGTTATAAGTTATTACAAGTGCGTGTTACACAACTTAACAAGGAAATAAGTTATCTGCGTATATGAAAGTAAAAATCAGATCTATCCGTTATTACATATGAGATTTAAGATAAGATACAAATGTACATAACACCACGCATTTCTCATTTTAAATCATAAAATGAACAAAACATGATATAAAATAAAATTCTTAATTTGGTCGCATCCGTTTTGCCTTAGACCTCTGTTGTCCAACCTCTTAAAAAGATCTATTGCCAACATCATAGAACTTAGCAAGACAAATATTCATGGTATTAATAAAAAAAAATATTTTAACATTTACCTCATGCATAAAATAACTAGAAAGGTCTGCATATTTTATCTGAATTATTAAATTTTAAATTCATATGATTAAAAAGAAACTGTAATTAATATCGAATAGTAAACTGCAATAAACTACCGCATCTTAACTGGTTAACTGGATGCAATTTCTCTGCAAAAGTCATCGACCTTAGTGAGTCATTCTTTCGTGCCTTCACGCTCGTATGATTTTTAATTATCAGTCTTTGAACGTAGATAAATCGATAATGCATTGATGTTTTTATAATAATCGACTTTTTAGTTTTTCTACGTAGATGAATCGATAATGCAATGAAAAATCGATTTAAGTATTAATATCTTGGACTAGTAAAGTACAAATTTTTAAAAAACTCGCTTTAAGTAATTTTCAAGGTGAAATTTGAACTTTTTTTAAAAATTTTTAAGTAGAGAACAAAACATCATAGCTTACACAATACGAAACAGTTTGTATTAAGTATAGTTTCTATTTTCTTATAATTTACTTATTAGTATTAAAAGCAGGGCTTTAAATTATCCTAAACTATTTTTCACATGATAAAAAGTTTAGCGAAACCGCGCACTACACAAAACACATTTACAAACAACTTTATGAATAAGGAAAAAAGTAATCACCTTTGAAATTGAAAATCAAGTCACAAGCCAAATTCTCAACGATCTCCACACTGTCACTTGTACGGTACGTGTTTGTGGTTTATTAAAAAAATAATAAAAAAGTTATTTTAGTCTATGATCAATATAATGCAACCGCCCGGATTCGAATGCGTCTGTTACGATGCGACCGTTCCTTATATTATTTCGTCACGCAATGTGAACGCGGGTTGTAAGTTGGGGGGAGATTTGGGTTACAATACATGCCTGCTTTTCTCATTATATATTTTTGGAGGAAAAAATACTGACCAAATACAGCCATATACTTCGTTCGGAAATTATACTGACAAACATCATTGCCGGTCGCAACTTTAATTACATTTTCACGTATTTACAAGTGACATAGATTAACTAACGTTCCTTATAATTAAGTAAAAATAATTTTGTTTAAAACAACTAAGTATAATCTATTCCAAATGAAAAAAACTTAATTTTTTAAACAAACTATTTAATTCAATACATGGCGACCACTACACTGCATCGTTACACTATGCTATTTTCATCGGACATCGATTTAATAAACAGGATTAAAAACGTATTAAGAATCAAGATAACGATTATTTAGATTGTAATCGATCTTTCAAAAATCGCTACTCATACATTTTAGAACATATGTTCTCAGTTATTTTTAATTTTACACTCACTTTTCTTAGAATTAGTGATTAATTATTTTGATTACAGCAATTAGACATACAGTCACGCATTCTGCTCCTTGGTAATTACAAGATTTGTGTAACTAACTCATATTTATAATTAGCACAGAAATATTTTGGGAGATAAACTTTCTAAATAACACTTTAATTGGAAAGAGGAAGCATGGAACTGTGTACCAAAAAATTGTTGCTAAGTAACCTAGAAAATAACGTTTAAAATGAGATAGATATATTTTTAAACTTCATTATTTATACTTGTAAAGAGGAAAGATTTGTATTTTTATATGTAACGAATAGACTCAAAAACTACTAGACCGATTTCAAAAATTATATTCCCACTAGCTTTCGTCCGCCACTCCGTCCGGGTGGAATAAAAAAAAACAAAAGTGAGTAGCCTATGTGTACTTCCAGACTATGCTCTACATCTATGCAAAATTTCACCGAGATTCGTTCAGCGGTTTAGGCTACAAACTCTAACAAACATCCATCCATCTAAACTTTCGCGTTTATAATATTAGTAAGATTAGAACGCCACATTATCACTAAGTGTTTATTTCAATTCTTCCACGCAGACAAAGTCGTGAGCAAGAGCTAGTTCTTTATAAATTTGAAATAGACTAGACATGTGTCTAGCGATAATTGATCATTGTCTTTTTAAAAAAGTAAAAAAATTGAATAACGCTACCAGTACATCAGGAATTTTTTCACATCGTTTTTAGTAGGTTAGCAATTTTAGAACTCCACTAAACGTCACGAAGTCATTTTGATACCTAATAATTATAACAATGATAATAGACAGGAAATATCTATCAAATAAACTAACAAAAAACGGTCCTCGCAGACAAATCATTGTTAGTTTTTATATAATTTGTCGGTATTTTCAGCATAAGATTGCTTTTTTTGTCTAATTTTCAAATGGTCAAGTTAATATAAATCATTGCCCTCGAATGTTATGCCTTCATATGATTATGGTTATTTTAAATTGCATTTTGAAAATATGTAACCCGATGTATGATTTTATAAAAAGATATCTGCTGTATTTAAGAATGAACTACTCTTTAACTCTATCTGCCGCGACAGAGTCCTTAAAAGGTTACTTAGCGAGTACTTTAGTGTAGGTTTAGCGTGGATAGGTTTATTTTAAACTTTTTACAGAAGTTAGTCTCCATTTGCAATGAAGAAAAATTCTTGCATGCTAAAATTTTCTCTTAAATTACCACATTTGCAGCACGCCTAAGTCTCTAACGCGTAAGTCTAATGACCAATGAGTCACTCCTTAATGCACGCTTACTGTAATACGAGTACGACACGTTTCCATTGTATGCGACGTCACGTTAATGCTTTTTGCTTATTCATTTTAGAATATCATAAGTTACAGTTAGTCAGATCTTAATGCACTTCTAGAAAACTCTGTATTTATCTTACTAATAATATAAATGCGAAAGTTTAGATGGATGGATGGATGTTTGTTAGAGTTTATCGCCTAAATGGCTAAACGAATCTCTATGAAATTTTGCATAGTTGTAGAGTATACTCTGCAATAACACATACTTGCTTTTGTTTATTTTAATTCTAGGCGGACGGAGTCACAAGAACCAGCTAGTACTAAAAAAAGTAAACATACAAAACACTCTTATGTCTTTTACTTTGATAGACGTCAGTAAAATAAATTTACCTAACTTTTCGTTATGATGTTTAGGGCAACTAATTTAAACATTCTAACTTGGTTTTTACGTCACGTAGGAGTAAATGGAAACAGTATCAGCGGTTTCTCTGTGTCGAAATTTGAAGTCGAGATGACGAGATTTGCAACGCTTACGTGAGGGATAGGAAGAGCGTATAAATATCTGATATAAATAATATAATTCATGGTTTCTTAATTCATATTGTAAACAAAGGCTTGTACAAGTATATTTCTATCTCTAATCTCTTAGAGTAAATGAGAGACACAAGATGTTACAAACTTTTGTGTCTGTGGAAATCCGTGGAAAGTTATCTATGTATCTGCGGTTTGTTTCAGAATTTTTATTTATGTTATTTACCTATTTTCCTAGTTAGTTATTGTTTATTGTATTACTACAAAAATATTATTAATATTACTATAAAAAGGCCCACTCATGTAATAAGAAAACATTACAAGAGAGTTTTTCTTGCGATAAATATGATTAATTTAACTCGTGTGCTGTTTGGTCATTATTAGCAAGTCACTTAATTAAACGGTAAATACAAACCATTGTAATACCCCAAATTGTAGTTTACCTTGTAATTGTGACGATTGGAATTTAGAAAAAGATGGGAAGAGGATATTTAAAAGCCTTTAGAACTATACACATCAGTTGAAACGCAGTGTCACATCCAGTTAGCTTGTCTTTTTTTTGTTTAGTCGAGGTTTGTACCAGGAGAGCTGTATTCTGCAGTACGGCCGTTGCTTAACAGTTATGACAATCTATTTGTACAATATATGGCTATGATTATGGTTAAAATCTTTTAATTTCTTACTTCGTAAGCAACGAACCGTAACATGTGTGCGAATCGCTAATGCACGTATTAATTATATCAAGAATCGCCCGATGTATTCGGAGCGCTAATTTCGCGCCTTTCACTTACTTTTTATATTCAAGTACGCGTCACGCTAACAGAAATCTTGTTTCGCGTTTGTAAAGTGTCACAAATGCGAAAATTGCAAATGGTGAAAACAGTTTTTTTGCGCCTTTACATTTTCGTGAACTGCTGCTGTATTCTTGTTCTTTTTCATTGGAATATTGATCGATCTACTGTTTTAAACAGTAAAATACAGCAACTTTGAAAATTTTTTGAATGATCATTACAAACGCATTTAATTAGGAAAACGGAAAAAGTATGGATGGAATGTGTGAGAGAGGATATACCTACGTCATAGTGGTATGAATTCATAGATGTATGTACGAGCAGTATACAATGTGATGACCCTTCATACGGTTAAAGGCAGGTTGTTGGCCTACGAGTATGAGTACTTATTATTTCAAAACATTTGAAATTAAACCAAATTTATTTACAAATACATTAATTGTCGAACAATATTCAGTATAAAATAAACAGATTAATTCCTTTATTTACAAGAGAGAGAGTTAAATTAACATTTAGAGTTTAGTAATAAATAACCGATTTTTAATACATTGAGTTGTTGAATTAATATCATAAAATAGTTACTAAATTGTTATTGTAATTTAGTATTATAATTTCTACTGACAAATGCAAAAAAAAAACTTGGAAGTCTAAATATGGACAAAATAGTGTCTTTCAATGGATGGTAATAATAAAAATATATCGAGTATAAATTCAGGAACTGTCAACATAGATTAAAAACTCCATCTGGCAAAGAAATTGCAATCTCAAAATCATTGCTTTGCCCAGGTCTTTCAGAAGTAGTACGTAGCAGGCTTTCTTACACTATTCTCTTTTACTTATGCACAAGATTAGCGCACTGTCTCAAGCATTATAATACAATATGGCTAAATCACCATCAAGAGATATTGACTGATACATTTAGATACATTTTAAACACAGTGTTGACGTTACACGTACAAATTCTTATCGGATTTCACTTTCAAAGTTCTATATGCACCATGCGCTCCTTCGTCCACACCATCATGTCTATACAAAGATTTGCAGGAATGTGTTCTAGTGATCATGTCGTATGAACCAATAGCGCCTCGTATCGCCCGCACTGCGCTGCGATGTCTTGTTCTCGTACGGATCTCTGGTGTTAGTTCCGTGTTGTAATATTTACGTTCCTCTGAATGTAGCCAGTTGGAATTGGAGAGCAGTTTCTTTGTCCATTCATCTGGAAAGGTTGATATAGTTTATAAGGTATAGATCGGTTTATATCTCTAATGGAAAAACATATTAAGAAATTTGATTGGAAAAAAGGTTTGCCCAAATAGTCATGTTATTACATGCACTAATATTACAAATGTTTGTTACACTATAACTACAGAACGGACTGCCGTTTGTACTGACAAATCTTGATGAAATTTGATAATAAGATATGATATTACCTATTCATATTTTTATGTCATTTTCTAGTTTCTTTATGTTTTTAATTTTTTTCTTAATTATTTGTGCATTTCTCACTAAAATTACTTTTTTTATAATACTCTGCTAATAATAGTTTTAAAAATTCTTCAATCTATTACCATTAAGATCTTTCATCGCACCGGCTTTGCCACCGTATTCATGCGGCAAGCCTTCTGGCGGGAAGTAGTCAACACCCATGATGTGGTTGATCTGATCCGCGTTAGAGTGCAGCTGAACGACCTTACGCCGCCACGGGTACAGCCCCACGTGGAGTAACAACAGGGACATTGTCTTCAAACGGTGAGTATTTATTATATGGACCTCGGAGAACCGAAGCGGGTATGCTGTCTGGAATGTTAGAAGAAATTGTCATGAAAGAGAAGTAATAGTGAGTAAGGGCCTGTCTCACTACTGGCTGAGAGAGGCTCAGATAGCTTTAAATTGACGTCACTGTCAGATAAGGGAACAAAATCCGATATTTCCATCACATGTTTTACACGTTCGATTGTTATCAGACAATTTACAATTTAGTGGGACAGGCCCTAAGAAATTTAAGAGTCAAAATTTCTGCTTGGTATAATTATCGAGTTAAACAAGCAAAGATCTGCCGACAGTCTTTTGTTTAGATTAAGGAAATTTGTATTTTCTTCAATGTTGAGATACTATTCACTAATTACGTAGGTAATTGTAGAATCCAGTATAGAAACTATAAAATTAAGCATACCATGTTAACTCAAAATAAAAGATACTTCTTTTTAGCGTTAGCACTGATTGCACTACTTTAATTTATCGTCATCTTGCCCTTGTGCCTACAAAGGGTCACAGTATATGCTGCTCTTCCATTCATTTCTTTCAGCCGTCATACTTGAATTCAATCCCTTCTTAAGCATATCCCCTTTCACACAGTTCATCCATACTTTCTTTGGTCTTCCTTCGGATTGCATTACCTTCATTAGCCAGACAAAATCCTTCCAGTAGCTGCCTCGGAAGTGGTTCTTGAGATGTGAGGGCTGCAGGTCGCATACGTCAATGAACACCACCTCCTCGCCTGGGGTCGGGTCCTCACGAAGTCTGAAAGTGACGTCATTAGATCAACATTTAAGTAACAACTGCCCCGAGTAGAGTCATTTGAATGCTAATGTTCTTTAGGCTAGATTTAGTTACTACGCTAAGAGATTGGGTAACCAATCACAAACTGAGGGTGATCATAAGTTTTTTAATTTTATACGGTTAACAATAAAAGAGTTTGTAATTTTCTCGCGTGTATCCGTTTCCTGGTGATCTAAGTAATGCGGTGTTATTAATTTATTAACTTTAACAACTTAGATTCATATTATTTGGATATACTTTATTTGTTTCGTTGTGTTTGCTTTATGACGATAAATGCTGATATTCATTGGGTTGTTCAGTTGGTTAAATAAATAAATGCAAATTACAAATAAGTTAAACGATTTTTTATAACACAATTTTGAATTATTCTGTATAATTTAAGACTAAATGGAGAAACAAAGCATAAATTAAATTTTGTAAAACAATAAACATTTGGCAAGATTTAAGCGTAACTCGTAAGTAAACAGTCGTTCAGCGAAAACAAAGTCTTTGTCTCCTTTGTTAGGTAACGACTATGGAAATTGAAATTTGCGAAACAAATTTGATTAAATGTAAGTAGAATACGAGTACATACATATTGTGTCGGTTATTAATTGTGAAAATTTTTAGAAAGTTAAAATATTTGTTATCTATACTAGTATAAAGAGGAAAGATTCGTTATCTTTGTATTTATTGAAATAACTCATAATCTACTGGGTCGATTTCGAAAATAATTTCACCATTAAAAAGCTACGGTATCAGTGAGTAGCATAGGCATAAATTTTTATTATTTCAAATCTTACGCGGACGAAATTGCGGGCAATAGCTAGTTATAAATTGAAACGGATGAAAAACAGAAAAAGAAATAAAAAAATACTAGGTAACTATATAAAATCTATCCAATAAGTTTCGTACTGTTTCAAATAATAGTTTATCATGTATCACAGTCCCTATTTCAATAGCCACAAGTTGACCTAAAAACTAAAGTGATATATGAGATTATTCAATTTGTATAGAGTCGTGCGAAATATAAAACCTTCGCCGCACAGCATTGTTTGATATCCATACACGTGGGTATAACATGAATGCGGCCCACAAGTGGCTATAACTTGAATCTTACCTCGTGTAATCATATGTAGAAATAACAGAAAATTATTTGTTATACTTGCACATCTTGCATTAATTTTTTCAGACGTTTATTCCTAAATTTATAGGTAGAGTTTTTCTTAACACATTATTTGATCAGGTTATCACTCTCTTCACCTACGTTCACATTACTTTGCTATTAATGTATGAGGTATATATGAAGAGCACTTTTAATACAATATTAATGGTATATTATTGACAAATAATGAAGTTATGAACAGTGAAAGTGATGAAAAAAGTTATATTTTTCAAGAGATATCTGAGATGTAAGCGTTTGTTTCATATTGAACTCTTTTCGTCGCTCTTTTGTTTTATATTTTAGCAATGTTACCTTATGTCTAAGATCATCAGCCACCTGGCGAGTAACGCTCGCGCTGACAGCGGCCTGTCCAGCGCGGTTGGAGCTGGGAGTCTCACCAGTGTCATCCTGCGACCTGCCACGCTGCGTACTCGTAAGGGGACTATGTACCTGGAATAGTATAAGTATTCTAGTGAGAATGGGAACTCTACGTAGTTTCTGTCGCGAAATAATACCATTTATTTACTATTGGTAATTATAAAAACTCTAAACTGTAGGGTTTGATCTTGGAAGTTGGCTGATGTGATCCGTGCGTAATTTACACGCAAATCACGCAAGTCATAGTCTTAAAAGACTAGGTATTAACTAATAAGTACTAGGTTCATCTATCACGTCATGCCGATCACATACTATTTTATTTTAATAAAAAAAGATAAACCTTGAACTGTTTAAGTAAAAGAAAGTTTAGATACTCACGCATCTTGACAACTCGACAGTATATCCTCTTCATCGGGATATCTTCTATGCCAGAGTTCCGTCAGTCCTCCCGGCCCTCTCGCCTTGTAGTACCTCCGCGCCCTCTTGGTTGCCTCCTCCTCATCTCCCTCGCAGGTGATCGGGAACAGATCGAGGATGACGAGCTCGTCTGCCGTGGCTGCTCGGGTCAGGTTGTCGCTGGCCCATCGCTTCGCGAACGACGCTGCCGGTGACATCCTGATACTGGGTACAAAGAAAGTATTGATTATTGACGTCTCTCTCTATTATATGCATTTTGATATAGATAGCATTAACTGGACCATAGTATGCTTGATGGAATTGGAAAATACGTTCAGCTAGCACCTAGCATTATAATAATGGTTGGTATCAATTTGATATGCACGTATTTTAGTTCGAATTGTAATATATAAAAAGACGAAATACAATATCTATTGTAACAACGAATATAAGTTGAACCTTAATCGCACTTCAGTGTTAGTTATAAGCTAAAGCGATTTCTTAACTAACATTTATTTAAGTTAAACTTTTCTTTCGGAGATTACTAGCGTGGTAAATAGATTTTTACCTTCCTTATACAGGTTTTAACCATTTAGGACAACTAGCTAGAAGTTTGTAAAAATCACATTATTAATTATAGATTCACAAAACTCGCTTCAGTTTATAACTTACTCGGCGGAAAATTTTAAACGTAACAATTTTTTTGTCGTCTTTTTGCGCTATGTAACTGTCCTTGGGATATTCAGAGCACAACATTGTAACGAACAACTAATTCAAGTACAAAATAAATTATTGAGATTTGTAAGGCACGCACTATTACGCAAAGAAAATAATTTAGATAATTTTCTTGCAAATCATGCAAGAAATACTTTTAGCACTGTGTATTACACAAAAAGTAAATCAATTCATACTTTATTTTATATAAAAAGTAACAAAAAAAGTAGTTGTTCAATTTAATTTTTAAACATAGAGTACCAATGTTACAGAGATATCACAATTTTAATAAAATTTAAACTGCATTCCAGGCAGTCGATTACAATGAAAGTCTGAATCAAATACCAGTATATCCTATCACGGTATTCCCTTGACATTACACGTATTTAGGCGATACAGGCCTGTCTGTATGTCACAACGGCGCACACGACAAAGGTCAAATATCTATACATATTTAATAACGAATACTTAATAGAATGATAAAAAAGCGTTCACCTCTATTATGTAATTGATAAATCGACATTTTTCTTTACTCCTTTGTTTTAACTTCAGCGAGAAATATGTTACTTTTCCATAGAGAAATATGGTCGGTTTCCAAGGTATTTTTAACCATTCGTCAGTGTTTATGGTTCCATAACTTCATGAATGTGTTTCTGAACTTCGTAACTTGAGTTTCACTCTATTGAAACTTCAACCTAACACTAATGAAAAAAAGTAATGGCAACTTCAGCAAGTATAAGTCGTATGTAACTTATTTGTTATATTTTTTATTCAAAAATCTAGTTTAAAAGCTGACTTTATAGAACACTTTCCACACAAAATACGTTGTTACTAATTGCTATACTAAGGGACGATAATTAATCAGCCCTTCAACAAACTTATCGCATTAACTCTACACTTCTTTTTCTTCTTCGTATCTTCATTGCTGAAGGTCGTGCTTGCCCTGGTAAGCCTTTACCATTTCATCTACCAGCTCCACGCCGCCCTGTCTTCGGCTCGTCTCAGGGCAGTCGGGATGTCGAGTCCCAGTATGGACTGCACCTGATCGGTCCATCGGGTAGGTGAACACCCCCGTGACCTTTTTCCCTCGATTTTTCCTGTTTCCACACTTAGTATAGATTTAATATGGTCTCTGAGTGTACAAGTTGATAAAGTTTTATAACTAAACCATAAAATGATCTCTACTTCTAAATCCCACGCGGAAAGCAAACGACCTTAGAGTCAGTTCAACTTATCTCGAGATTAACGCACGTCGTAAACTAAGGCAACTTACGTGGATTATAACGTCCACTGTTTATTTATTTATGATGCTATGATGCAACGTAATTTGATAATAACGATAGTAAAATCGTAAATAATCTCAATTTTAATGGTGACATAGAATAAATTAGATTGGCACGTTTTCTTAAGAGAGATTTAGTACTGGCAGGTTTCCTAGCTACGTTTGATCATATTAGTGTTTTTGGAACAATAAATTTAAAATGCGTTACGTGCCCATATAAGCTCAGAGGTATCAACCGCGCGACTAAACAGTTGTGCGATAGGTTAGTCAAACGTGTGTGCGCGCTTTTAATCTAGAGGCGGTTACAATTTAATAACATACACGTATGTAGAAGACGGATAAAAAAGCAATTTAAATCATTTACTGACGACCTTTGTAAAATTGTTGCAAGTAAAATTATAATGATTAAAGAAAAATGAAGTTTTTCATTTATAAACACCGAGTGCATGTTTCTTAGTCATAATAATTGCGTAGAGTAAATTCTGTCGATATCTCCGTAAGACAAGACTAGAAGGCCGCTGGCAAGGCGATTTCCTGCATTTAATTTAGTGTTGCGAATCATTTATTAAAATTTATGTCGATGTTTTTTGCGAATTTAATAAATGGTTATTACACTAATGGGATGGTAGAAATAAAACGAATTTACCGTAGCTGGTTAAATTATGGTATTGTTATTATCTTAAGAGTTTTTAAATATTCATTTCAATTAATTTGTGATTGTACTTATTGTTCCAATAATAAGCTTCAGTTTCGAGACTCATGGTAAAATGACCAGTATAAAGTTACCAAAATTAAGATTGCAGTTAATTTTAAGTAACATATGAATTCAATTACTAAAGTTTACAAGGCATATCTCATAAATATATGCATGTAATAATATCGATGTAACTAACTATCAAACTTCATCTATGCGAACATCACTATTGCTTCGCATATAAAGGTTTGTTGTGGGACTTTGGTATTTCCCCAATTTATTATTTCCTGTCTTCGAATATGGATGACAAGATATATGGGTTCATTTATATGAATAAGGGATGTACCCGACGTGTTTATCGATATAGATAATTTATACCCTATGGGAGACAGCACGTCTCGATATTTATTACTCGGTACGATGCATACTTTACCGTTGGTTTCTACAGTCAAAAAAATTTCGTTGCCGTTTTTTCAAAGAGCTTTCGTATAGCTACAATATAAACTTTATAATTAAGGTGTGATTCCACTGTCGACACACTAGTATAATATTCCTTACATGTTCTTCCAAAAAAATTGAGTTGAAAATAATGATCTTATACAAGTGATGCGACTGACTGACGTTATAAATTCTATTTGGTTATTTGTAAATAAATCAATTTGCTATATCAGCTGTAATGACCTTTTAATGCTCTATTAATGCCCCTTATCCTGGGCTCAGTGATCACCGAACTGCAGTAACAGAAGAACACGCGATCATCACAATGGGTTTGTTGTGACGTCATAATTTTTTAAGCTCGGTAACAAAGAATCTAAAATACAACATAACGGTTGGTTTGTATGTTCATTCAATTTGAAGATATTTCAACGATTTGAACTCGCTAAAATGACTAAGCCTTAAAAGTAATTGTATTGACAATTCTAAATAAACTTGATTCAAGTCCCAGAAGTGTTAACTTGACAAAGCTAAGAAAGGAAAAAACGTAGTATATTTACTCGTAATTTCAGTAATTGTCAGTTAGTTGAATTGGTGATTATTTGATTTGTTTCTAATGCCCGCTCTATATTTGTATCTCTGTGCGTAACCAATACGATTACGACAGGGTCGTGTAAAAGCAATACAGTAATTAAAAATGATACAGGTATTATAAAATATTCAGGTTATGCGGACAAACAAATGAATAGAGACGGGAAATATCGCAGCAGATCACGATGTTGGTATCACGATTGTTCATTTATTTAACCTGTTTACGAATCGATTGATTTTTTTACCAATTGGAATTAAAACACTCGATTCTAAGTTTAGATTCCAATAAGACAAACTTCTATTAAAACAACATTGTTTTGTCTATATAAGCTGTTTTCCCAGCAGTATCAGAGGGAACGACAGTGAAAACCAACCTCATGATTGACGGTCTACAGTGATCCTTTAAAAAACTTGACAACGTAACACACTTCTATTAGTAAGGTTGATTAAACTTATACGATCTGGTACTCAGAGTCAGTCGTCACAATAAGGCTTCCTTAGTGTATTGTGGGAAATATTAGTAAGACAGTTAGTCCCGTGCCTACAAATTTCGCATTAACATAGTAAGTGATCATTAGTGATATAAAATCAATGTTTGTACGTCAATAAATCAGCTGATTTGACTAATTAGACCTCAATCAGAAGTAAACGAGCAATGGATACTTTCCGTAGAACGTGACTATCGAAGGAATTGATGGAAAAGTATGGTACTTAATAAAACGTAAATAAGAAAAAGTAATGGAGATCGCGGGAAAGGTTTTTGATTATTATAAAACGTAAAAGACAGATGAAAGATACATAACATAGAAAATGACAATCAAGTTACCCACTGATTATTATCTGAGTCATTAGGGTTAAATTTAAGTAAGCTTGAATGGAGTTAAACTCAAGTTAGTTACTTTGGAAATACATTTTATGAAGTTATTGTACCAAAAACACTTACAAATGGTTAAAAGTTGGGAAACCGGCTGTAAGTTGATGCATGTTTAACCTATCTTAGGATCGAATATAAGTTTTGGAATACGAACTGGTTTTTGAGCAATGACGCAGGAATTGTTTACAAAACATTCACATTAAAACGGCATAAATTTATATATCCCATGTTTTTTTGGAAATCTGACTTCCTTTGATTTAAATTTAACAAAAAGAACACACTAGATGGAGTTTAGGATTAAAATATAAGGTTAAAAGTAGATAAAAAAATGTAACAAAAAAATAAACACCAAAGACATCTAAACATTCCAAATACATAAATGCAAAAAAGAAAACAGTGTCTATTTTAATATTTAAGCACATAAATATCCGAATGAAATTAAAAAGGTAAAAACAATCAATGTTTGTGATAACACTGGCAGGCAACAAACCATCGAAAATTAAAAAAAAACATACCAGTGCGCGCAGCGTGCAGTCTCGCTAGCGCCAGTCGACTGGTGATCTGAGTCACAGCAACACTGTTCACGGATTGTCTTCCGCGACTCGCCTTGACCTTACCGACACCACTGTGTTTATTTGGAACAATCACCCACACTCGAAGGGTTACATCACCTTTTTTGGAATTCAGAACTACATTTCAATAAATAACTTACAATTGACAATAACAATTTGTTAATTAAATAAACCAAGTGAATACGATAACTAATATAAGTATGAACATTCTGAAACAAAATTACATGCACGTAAAAACCTTTCTCTCTCGTCAGCAGGGTAAAAAGTAATAAAGCCTGAAAAACATTGCCCTCTTGAGTTATTTGAACAAAAGTTTTTATTCACCTGTTTTTTAATTTATCACCAGTTTCCACAATTTTCACACAACAAAAAACAAAAGAAAACCTTACGCTGCCACGCAAAAAAACCGATAGTTATTCTAAAATTACCCGCTTTGTACTTATATCAGTATTTAGATATTTCTTTTACCTTACAAATATCTTTTTAATTTTTTTCATGTGCGTTGCAATTAATTGTTATAATTTTCTATGTCATTTATTTGTTAGGAAAACAATTACATTTCTATGCTTAATTGTCATGTGTATCGACATTCAATTGTCTTCATATAGATTAGTTTAAATTCGAACTTTCACTAGACATTACTTCATATTTGAATCAGAATTCAATCATCGTTATTTGTTTTATTTTATTTTATGTAGATGTTTATGAAATATTGATGAAAACCGTAATAAATATTCAAATGTTTCAAGTATGTTTAATTTAGTACGCAAATAAGAAATTTGTGAGAAAATCTAAAGTTTTTGGACAATACGGGAATTCGTATGATGAAAACGCACTGTTCTACCTTTAAAAGGTCTGCCGTAAATCCGTAAATAGATTTTTAATGTTTTTTAACCACAGAACGTTATTTTAAAATTTGATTTACGTTGTTTTGTTACATGTTTACTACGCAACTATTTACTGTACAGCTCACTTAAGTACTCATATATGGCTGAGCTAATTTTAGTACGAACTGTGCTGGGAATCTTAAAAGGTCGTCGTATATAAGATCGTGAGTAGAACACAAATTAGGTATTTCTATTCTAAGCCATTTAATTAATTCAGATAGAATACTGTAGTAAAATAATATTTTTTTATCTTTGTTTATCTGTACATGTAATAAAACTAGCTTTCGCCCGCGACTCCGTCCGCGTGGAATTAAAAATAAAACAAAGTGAGTACCCCATGTGTTCTTCCAGAATATCCTCTACATTTGTACCAAATTTTATAGAAATCCGTTCAGCCGTTTAGGCTACAAACTCTAACAAAACTTTATAAACCTTTGCATACAAATTTGTACGCATTTTCAGTTTGTTTCTCACCACTTGTAGCCTAACTCAAAGATCGGTCACTAAAGGTGGTAAGATTAGACACAAAAGGTACGCTTAAGTAAATTAAACAACCCTATTGAGGCTTACTACACGTATTATAAATTACGTTTAGCAAACCGTTCATACAAGTTTGGAACTAAACTTGTTATAAAATTAGTAGAAGATATCGATTTTAGTAGGTACATAAGTGCAGATTTATCGGTCCATTAAGAGTTACGCTAACAACCGCACACGAGGCCGTTCTTTGCAGATCAATAAAAGTGCCAAAAGTCCGTAAACATCTGGGAGAGCAGCTGCCTCGCGCATGCGCACCAAAAATGTTGCCACTTTATTAAAAGTAAATTTCCACAGTATTTAGGCAAATTATTCTCATGTGAAATCTTGTTTTTAAAAATAAAATAAATTGCAATACTTTTTCGTTTTATAAGCGTGGCTTTTTAAACATTTATTCATCATACTACGAGAAAACAATACTGAGTAAATCTATAAATTTTACGAAAAGTCAATGAAGTTTCGTTGACAGATTTTGCGAAGTAAGTTATTCAATAATTTTAAACATACATAATGCAGTTATTTAACATAGAGCATTTAAAGTTTATTTTAGCATGCTTCTTGCTACTACATGCTAATATTCTCAAATTAATAATTAAACAGGATAAGTTTAATGTAACTTCATAATAAATAAATATAATTTTGTGGAACACAATTCCGCACAATGGCAACATTACAATAAAACGTCAAAACTAGGAACTGGAGCGAAAATATACGCGATATATTTTTTTATTAATTATGAATGAAAATGTACACAAAATAAATAAAAAATATATGTACATTACACTATGAATTAAGTGACGTATTTTGACATATTTACATCTTGAATACTCGACAATATAAATTCGTTATGTACTTGTAGTTTGGTGTTAAATGTTTTAATAATTAATTGTTGTTATCAAGATTAGAAGTGTTGTTGTTAGTATTCGGTGTTGTCATTGTTGTTAATTGTTGTATTGTTGCTTACAAACGTGTTGTGTAACAGGTTGTGCTAAATAAAATTGAAGAAATAACATTAACAGTGAAAGGTGAGTTGCATATTTCATATTTATAACCTAAAAATAGTTGATAAATACATACTAATATTACAATTACGATGTTTACACTAGACATGGTATAAAGTGACAGAAAAAATAGAATTATTAATAACTCAACGTTCCTATTAAATAATTCATCAGTTATTATTAAATTAATAGTAAATTTAAAAAAGTTAGTAGACCCGACTGCCTCATTCATGTCGGTTCATTTGCAACCCAGTCCCAATGGAACTTACATTTAATCTCACATACAAGATATACGCGCGAAAAACATTCTTTTATCAGTCGAGTTTTTCCTATTGATTTTCCTTCCATTATAGAAATACTTAACATATAGACTTATTAAAAAAGTAACAAAGGAACGTAACAAATCGCGGAGAAACAATCGTAACTCGCTTTTATGTTCTTTTAAGTGAAATTAAATTATTTTATCGCGTGTAGAATGAGTGAAAACTTCATACAGTTATGCAAGTCCACGTTATTTATCTATAAACGTAATTGCATTAATTATTTAGCAATTTATTAACTACATTCGTTATGTTCAAGAGTTTTAAATCCATGGTTTTCTTCAGGGTAAACGTGATTAGTTTACATGGGACTATTTTAAAATAAATCTAGCTCAAATTAACTTGCATTTTAAAGGATTATACTATAAGGCTTAATTTGTTATAGAATTTAAAAATGTTTCATTACAGCTTCCTGTCGATATCCCAATTTGGGACTGTTTAATAAATTTCTGTCTTCATCAAATACATTTAACCAATGTTTAATCAATACAAATAACCAACAATATCAATCTTTAATTAATATAATAAACCCTCATCCTCACTTCCTGTCATCTTCCTGAAATGTCCTTAGTAATGTTTAAATATTCTAACACATCATCAAATAGTCGATGTAATACTAAATTGACTTTGATAATCAAAACTTCGATACATTTCAAAATGTTCATCAATCAGATAAAGTTTCTCAGTCTTGTTAGCGTAACTTCGAAGTTCAACTTCGCTCCGACATAGCGCTGAATTGCCGATACAGAACTTAGATACGATGTCCTTATTGCTAAAGTTCATCATAAATTTATGTAATACATCTTTGATTTATCGTAAATTGTATTTTGTATTGATCTATATAACATTTTTGTCTTAATTTAAACATCAAATATTAAAGCGCCTGCAAGAAATGTAATAGCAATATATTTGTGTCATGTCATTATATTTTTTTTATTTGCAAAAAAATTCATAGATTATAAGGACTGTTTATAGTCCAAATAACTTAACATTACGAGGTAGTCACAAACTGTATAGCGTACTTGTCTATAACTTCTTGCGTCTCTTGCTAACTTATTTAACGTGAATAAATGGATCTTCGTTAAACTTTGTTAACGAGTAAAAGTTGGTTAATGTCCCTTACATCTGAAACTCGCGGAACGTGACGCAGCACTGTGACACAAACTTTCTAAGGGCAATAACTACGCGACAACTTTGTATGCGGTAATAATTAGTTTTGGCACACCAGTAATGAGTTTTGACTTGCAATTTCGAGTAAACACACAGCACGGTTTGTCAAAGACTTTTCAAACAGTTTCTCCAGGTTTTCGCTCGAAGAACTTGCGTATAAAGATATCGATTTTCCTTTAATTCTCTTATAAAAAATCGAAATTCAGTTTCAACAAAAGTAACTAATGGAATGAACTACTAACTATGGAATTTAACGTTCTTTTACACAACTCTTTTGTCAATTTAACTTCCCAATCAATTTGAGAACATCTGTTAACAGTTTTTGAAAATAATTGAGTTTTATCACTGAAGTTATATGATAACATTGACCCATTCCTTCTGTCTAAAGAACAGAGATATATAATAGTTACTAAAAATTATTATGTATTTGTTTCAGATTTAATAATGAGGTATAAGCGGCGTACATCGCAAACAACGAGGGCGTCGCGGCATTCCGACAAGAAATATACAATCCGTAAGTAACTTATAAGTACAATTTTTACAGACATTGTCATGTCACATAGTACATATATAGCATTGTAGAAGAACCTGTACACAATTGTATTGTTATCTCTATTCTTTATAAAGAGAATAAAAGGATAGCTAATGTTTTGTACATGTGTTTCAAAAATTAATGAAAATTGTACATCATTAGGTTCAATCAAAACCTAAAATTTTTAAAACCCTTATCACCTTAAATAGAAATATCTACACTAAACATTGGTCAATTGCCTAATGATGAGGTACTGACTTCAAAGCCCACCATTTGACTATTGTCGTAAACCATATCCCCGAACAAATTTCGAGCTTAGTTAGAATTATACAAGACTTGTTGTTCCCGTGCGGCTTCATTCGCATGAAATTATGAAAATTTCATCTTTTACTTACAATTGTCAAATTATAAATAGCAAATGTCAAAATGACATGACATAATAAACCTTTGCAATCTTGCTTCCTTGATGTTGGTAGCAACTTATGGTCCCTTTTCCACATTAGGGTTTTCATCCAAAATATTTACCCCCTAAGTTTATTGGCGTGAAATTATGTAGACTAAAGCGTGACGTAAGTGT